AATGTAAAATAAGAATAGGACAATTACAAAATGTAGAGGCCAACTGAACACATTTCACGAGTCTTATGTGCATATTTATGTAATATTTCAATAGCTTTCAGATTTCTGTACAAAGCACAGCACTTATTTCATTACCTATTCATATTTCCTTACCACTCCCTTTGGTCCCTACAAAAGTATCTGGAAAAAAAAAAATGCCTCCCTGACTAGCAATTTGTATAAGTAGTGGTAGCAATTTACTTTTTACAAGCGCTTGATAATATTGAGTTTAGCACGTTGTTGGAAAGGTTGTCTATTAGATTTTGTAAGAGATTCTTTCAGAAAATGCTAGCAGAGGCTCCAAGGCCTGTGAAGGAGAGCATGGTATTCAAAAAATGTAGAGACCTCACGAAAAAGAACCTGGGACAGAAGAATGAAGGTGAGAAAACAAGAGTTTAGCAGCTGGGAACCATGGGCCTGAACATAGAGTAGGGACAATGGCGGACATGGGTGATGATGGATGATCATAGGCCTGCATCCACCCAGAAATTAAGGCACATTTACTGTTCAGGGCGCCTGGGTGGCTCAGCTGGTTAAGCGTCCAACTTCGGCTCAGGTCACGATCTCGTGGTCTGTGAGTTCGAGTCCCGCCTCAGGCTCTGTGCTGGCAGCTCAGAGCCTGGAACTGGTTTCAGATTCTGTGTCTCCTTCTCTCTCTGCCCCTCCCCCACTCATGCTCTATCAGAAATAAATTAAAAAAAAATTTAAAAAGCACACTTACTGTTCATTTATATATGGTTAGAACGGAATTAGGTTAAAAATTATGTTGAAAATGCGTATGTGACAAAATGAGAATGAGAACACCAGAATGGGTTTTCCAGGTTAACATTTATTCGTTTACTTATGAAAAGAGCTGAGTCTTTACTTTCTAGGAGATAAAATGTTGTTTTTTATAAAATCGTGCTAATAGACCTTAGCATAACCTTAGTTCTGGTTTCCCCTGAAGCAGACTCTATAGCACAACTGAGTACAAGTGGTTTATCTGGTTGGTACTCGAGGTACTTCGAGGGGAACTCCTCGAAGGGAATGGAGAAATGAGACAAGGAAGGACAGGCAACCAAAGAATGGAGTGTTACCAAGCCAGCTACCATGGTAACAGCTTAATCCTGTGAGGAAAAGGTATATACCTTTTCCTAGAGTTTCCTCAGATGTGTCAATGGAGACATGCGGGCTGATGGCATGGGCCACTGAGAATGGCCTCGAGCGTAATTTTATCTTTACTGTTCTTACCTTGGAAAATGACGTTGGTCACTGAGGTCAGTTCCCCACTCACCGTTTTCAGCCCTCCCCCAATTACATCCAAAGACAGTTTGGGACACTGACATCCCAGCCCAAGAGCCCGTCAGTTGGCAAGGTCAGTAACAGCACAGGGCAGGTGCAGCTCAGAATGAAGAGGCAAATTCCTGTCAACTACCCCAAGGAGGAAGGAGGACTCCAGAATGAGCAACAGAACATACCAAGGGATGCCCTTCCTGACCTTCAAACCCAACAAGGGCCTCCAAATTCTTGCCTTCCTAATCCACCTCTTCTCTGACAACTTTTGGTCAGGCAGCTCCACTTGAGGAGGAAAAGGAGTCGTTAGATATGGTCTGAGTATGACTTGCTTAGCTCTCGAGCTCCCCGCATAGCTCTACAAACTTCCTGCGGCCCCAGTTTCTGCCAGCATCTCCTGAGGCTTGTCCAAAGTTGACAGCAACTTCCAGAGAAGCACGTAATCATCCCCGGCTCTATAGCTGACAGGATCACCCTAAATATGTCAGAGGACGTCAAGAAGTACCTCCATATATATAAAAAATATAACTAATTCTCATTGGAAAGAAAACAGTTGGCGGGGGGTGGATGAAGGAGGAAAAATTAGGACATTAAATGGTAATATGGTAACAACCCCAAAATGATCAGACACTCTAAACTGGTAATGCTGTTCCAGACAAATGAATTCTCATATGTTTAGCTTGCCTGGTATAATGCTTAGAACAGGCAACTTATTTAAAAAAAAAAAAAAAATAGTGGCGCTCAAGGCCACTATTTAAAAACAGTGGCTTTTCCCACCTTCTGGGGCAGTGTCCTGCCTATCACAAGGACTTCAGCTTAGAGACAAAAAAGCATTTCACATCTATTGAACAATTACTATGTGTCAGAAACTTACATTTAGTCTGAGTCCAACCTTGGTAACTACGAAGAAAGCCCAACGGGATGGGCATTGTTCTCCCACATAGAGATGAAGAAATCCAGACTCGGAGCACACAAGTAACTTACCACCCCTCAGACGACTCATTGGTGCAGACCTGGTATTCAGACCTAATGCTAACACCAGGCGCTGACTCTTCTCTGTTCTATGGTTTCCAACATTGCGTCCCATCTCCTAACCCTCCTCTCCTTTTGGCCTTCTGCAAGGTGTTACTAGAGAGCCAGTAATTCAAAAGTGGTTGTCAGTCGTACTTACGTTTCTAGCATATATTTTAAACAGCAATCAATTTTTCCCCCTCATGTTACCAATCTTGGCACTAATTACTAAAAGTACTTTTAACTTCTAAAATGTAATCAAGTCTAGCAACATAAAAACTCAAGTAATACTCACCGACAAAATGTGTTATTTGTAATGATCTAAAATTACACTTTCTGTTCACATGCTGGTCCTTTTCTCTCTCTTCTTGCAAGGCCTTTGGAGCTTTCCCCCTAAACTAATGAGGTGCCAAAGGATGTGACAAAATGACCACCTCGAGTGCTGAGTGGGCTTAGGTGTCTGCTGAGTGAAAAGAGGAATGGGGTGGGGGCATGAAATTTCTTTGAAGGACATTTTTAAAAATTGTTTTTTGTAATCTGATCTGATAGTTATTTCATGCCTTTTAATGATCTATGCACAATCAGATGTAGGCCAATAGTTGAATAATTCCCATTGGTTACAAAAATGCAAAAGAATGGCTAATTTCTTGGTGCCTAATGTATTTTAATACGCAATAATTTACTTCAAAATGCTTTAGTATCAACTTTGTAACGTACATGTGCAGGTAACTTTAATCTTACCCTGGGGCTAGGTCAGATAGCATTTGAAGGACTCCAGTCTGGTGGCTGGGTGCTTTAAATACTGCCATCTAAATCTATACCACTGTTAATTAGCATAAGGCAGGTTAGTACTTTTTCATTAGTGAATGGAGCTCGTAAGTGATTGCCCAGGAAGATTTTTAGAGGCAAAATACATGAAGCAAGGTCGAAGAATATGGCAAACCCTGCAACTCAAGACTTTGATTAGTACTTCAGATGTGGAGAGTTCACTTCTGTGCTGTCTTTCCCTCAGCCCCACACTAAGGTCGCATTGCCTGATTCAGTCAGGTTACATAAACCTGCCCTAAGTGTATCATTGCTTCTTTACTTTGAGCCTTTTGGTCAAGGTGTTTGTGGGATTATGAGCAGAGAAGGAACTTACCCAAGCTGTCTAAAGGCCCTACTTGCTAATAAATATTTGTTCATCTGAGAGAGCTCTGTTTTAGATTTGCTTTTATTGTAACATCCCATCAGGTAATTAGGCTATGCAAGAGGAGACATATGGCCTTACCACTTCCAATAAAAGTAGCCACTCTCTACCAAATGATCTTGTGATTGGTGACTACATTGGCCTAGACAGTCTACAATGGTGTGAAAAAGAAACTAAAAGCCTATCCATCCTCATTCCATACTGAGGGTCATATCTGATTCCTGAGCACTGCCCTCAATGTACTACCTACTGAAGATCTCTTTAAAATCAGCAGGTAAATACTGATCTTTAAGAGCTGTACAGAAAGCAATCAAGCCATTGTAAAGGTCAAGGTCATCCTCTAGTAATATCATGTTTTAAAATATAATTAATTTTGGGGGCGCCTGGGTGGCTCAGTCGGTTAAGCGTCTGACTTCGGCTCAGGTCATGATCTCAGTTTGTGAGTTCAAGCCCTGCGTCGGGCTCTGTGCTGACAGTTCAGAGCCTGGAGCCTGCTTCAGATTCTGTGTCTCCTTCTCTCTCTGCCCCTCCCCCACTTGTGCTCTGTCTCTGTCTCTGAAAAATAAATAAATGTAAAAAATATATAATTAATTTGGGGGCACTTGGGTGACTCAATCGGCTCAGGTCATGATCTGGCAGTTCAGGAGTTCAAACCCTGAGTCGAGCTTGGTGCTGACAGCTCAGAGCCTGCTTCAGATTCTGTGTCTCCCTCTCTCTCTGCTTCTCCCCTGCTCACTCTCTCTCTCAAAAATAAACAAACATTAAAAAATATGTAATTAAATTCGTATCACTTTTAATTTTTTTTTTTAACGTTTATTTATTTTTGAGACAGAGAGAGACAGAGCATGAACAGGGGAGGGGCAGAGAGAGAGGGAGACACAGAATCTGAAACAGGCTCCAGGCTCTGAGCCGTCAGCACAGAGCCTGATGCGGGGCTCGAACTCACGGACCGTGAGATCATGACCTGAGCCGAAGTCGGATGCTTAACCGACCAAGCCACCCAGGGGCCCTTTTTTTTTTTTAATTTTTTTTTTTTAATTTGTATCACTTTTAGTTAAAGCTTGATTACTTAGAAGGCTGTTTGTTAATGATTCCTCAAATCTGAAAATATAAATGGGGGCACCTAGGTGGCTCAGTCGGTTAAGCGTCCGTCTGACTCTTGATTTCAGCTCAGGTCATGATCTCACAGTTCATGGGATCAAGCCCGCACCTGGCTCTGTGCTGATAGTGTGGAGCCTGCTTGGGATTCTCTCTCTCTGCCCCTCCCTCACTTTCTCTCTCTCTTAAAAATAAATAAAAAAAAATACAAATGAAACCAGGAAAACCTAGCCAAAGCAGAACTACTGTTTTAAATTTTAAATAAACCAGTTCTATATTTCTCTTCAGAGGAAACTGGGGCAATGTCACTGATATTGAATGAAGGGCAATTTGAAAACCCAAGAATCAATCCAAGTGAAGTTGTTACATATGAGAAACCTAAAAGTAAAACTATGTCAAACACATTTTATTTGGTGTTTCATGCTAGGTCAACTTAAACAAATAAAACAACTTTGTTGAACAGATTTTTTTTTTTTAATATGACTATGTGTACATGGACAACTGAGAATAGGGAAACCCCCCAAATTAATGTTTTCACAAATTACAGCTGTTACTATAGCTTGGATTTTAAGAATATCATCCAATAAATGAATAGTTTCTCATTCCATATAACCAATCCCTCTCTTAAGAAAGCCAACATATTATAGTGCCGGAAGTTTACCTTTTTAAACACGCCATTAAAAAAAAAAATGTTCCCTCAGAGTCCCCTCTCCTTCAATATTTTGTTGTTGGTTTCTAAAAATGGCAAAATAAAATTGAATTTACATTAGAAAATGAAAATACAGATTTGTACAGCTAAGCTCAGCAGCAGAAGTGAGGAAGAGTGACAAGTCAAAGCTGACGGGTCCCACAGAGAATGAGGACATTTGTGAAGGTATCCTGTACAGTGCTCTGTGTGGGCCGGACACAGTCAACATTCCATCATGTTTTCATTGCTCTTAAACGAGCAAAACCAAATTCTTTTTTTATTTAAAGAAATATTAAATCTCTGTCTCCCCCCGGCCCCCCCCGGCCCCCCGTAATTTGTGATCAGGTAAGGCAAAGGTAAGTCCCATCATCACTGGGAACAGCAGCAATATACAGACATCAGAAATAGCCCTGAATCATCGCTAACATTCTCCCTCCTGGTAACATAAGGAATGCATCTGATAAATCAAAGTTTGCAATGGTGTCACGTTGTTCTAATTTATTTGATTAGTTCACCTGGAAAAAACTTTATAAATACATTATTTAAGAGGACAGTATATTTTCTTACTCTGAAAAAATAATTTTTTTTTTCACATTTTAAAACTGTTTAGTACACTTTTGCAAAAGGAGATGCAAGAATATGACAGCTGGGTCTGCAGAAAGTCCATGTACAAACTGCATTTACAAGAACCTGGTAATCTGCCTATAGTTGCTTCTACAAATAGAACTTTTTGCAGTAATATTTAACAAACAGGCTTAATTTAAACACCTCTCCTATTCACTCTACTTGTAGAGCAAAGAGGTACTTATTTTTCAAGTATTATACTGTAAAAGGTAAAATTTTTTGTGCCAATATTACATTAGCTTTTAAGGACCAAAATATTTATGTGAAAAATCATGCCTAGTCAGCCCATTTTTTAAAATAGCCAAATGTTCTTGTCTTTTAGAGAATGCAGAAAAATATTGATTTGCTAAGAAGGAGCACACTGGAAAAAGCCTTTGTAAAGTATTGAAGGATAAGGAAAATTTCTTTTTCTCTATTGGCGAAAATTATTAGAAAAGCTATCCAGTCTGTTGTCTTTAGCTGGCTTTAATAAAGTCTTTTCAAAAGGATGGTCAAGAAATCTTTAGAAAACTGGAAGATGGGGATGCTCCTTTATAGCATGGAAGGAATTCCATTAATTGTAGAAATTCTTAGTAAATTTCTGCTTTGGTTCTTCAGAAGAAATGGTCATATAACTTCTATATGAGGAGACAGAAAAAAAAAGCAAATTAGTATTTATCTAAAATCTTACTTAAAGAATACTATCACAATATATTACATTTCTAAAACTACTATGCTTTTCTATATATTTTCTTGTATAAGAATAGGCGATTTTTTTTCAGAATCTTAAATCTTATTAACAAATTCTACCACTAGCAGGAAACACATGTCCCCTTCTTTACTTGAACTTAGACTAGATCATTTACTTTTCTAAATGACATACATCAACCAACTGTACTTTTCTTTGAGGTTAGGGACTTCTATTCATTGGTCTCATATCCTCAGTACTTGATGCTTCAGGCTTAAGGTTGGAGGTTAAATAAGTGTTTGTTGAAAAAAACAGTCATGACCCCCGAAGAACCTTCATGCCATTTCAGATCACAGACACTGGACCACGTTCTTATAGAAGTCACAGAAGTGTAAGAACAGTAAGAATGAAACGACAGGTAAATCAAAAGGTGAGTTAAGGCCCGTCACACGAGGCAGCAGGTCATCTGGATGTCCCTCCCCCTCTACGTATCTGTGACACGAATCTGTGACACGACAAAGTGGGAAGCTGCATCAACAGTACTAACATACCAGCAATCAGATTATTTCCACTGGCTTACGAATCACAATGTCAGACCTGGAATGGACCTTATAGCTTCCTTTAACAATCTAGAACAGTGGATCACTAAAGTGAAATTATACTCCCAAGGGTAGTATATTAGAGAAGGAAAAAAGACTAGCTTCATTTGGACAGATGGTTCAACACTGCCTTTTCCAGCCAGATAAATTGGAAAATATTTGTCGCAAGGTCACAGACAGAATCTAAAAGACACAATAATTTGACCACAAATAAGTCTGAATCTGGCCAGGTCTGTTCATAAAAGTATGAAGAGATGGTGGTCGATACATGAAAGTGATCTGCTGGGAAGAGAAACTGGAAAGAACTCAAATAGGTTTGAAAAGAGACAGAGCTAGGATTATTCCACCTATTTTTGAGACTGATGAGACTGTGTTGTTGAGCTGCTGTGACCCCTGAGTTGGTAACTTTTGATGTTGCTCCTTATTTCTTTGCATCACATGAAGCTATTGTTCTTTTTGCACAAAGAATTCAGGTCAAGTATGAGTCCCAGAGATGGTACAAGAGAGTCATTGGTAAGTTTCCACAACAGCTTACAGTCATTCAACAAAGGAGAGAAGACCACTGGGCTCATATGCCCCTAGTTCTGAATAAGTGTCCAATTTCCTAAAATCTATCTACCTTATTACACTTAAAAAGGACAACAGTGTATCATCCAAGCTGCTAAGCCTGAACAAGAGAAAAAATGGGAGAGGATGACGGCAATCTTCATATATCTGAAGATCTGGGAAAGATGGAAAAAAAAACGCCAGTTGGGGTCACTAGGCCCAATGGTTTCTGTGTTATGACCAGACATTATGTGGTTGTCTTTGTGAAGCATGTTCTGGCAATGAGTGCTGCTGGGCTGTGAGGACTGCCTGTGAGAAGTTGATGGACACCCAGTGGGTGCTGCAGACTGGATTTGTGCTACCAGGTGGGAGAACGAGACAGGCCCAAGAAGTTGCCCAATCCAACTCAGAATTCAGTTTCTATGATCCATATACAATCTTTTCCATGTGGTCCCACTGCCACATGTCAACATGTCAACAGTCATACTGCAGAAGGTTCATTCCCTCACGCAATGTCACATACCTGTGATGGTTATGCAAAGCAAGCTTACCTGCTGTCTGTTGTGTTTGAACACCATCTACCTGAGGCAGGGGCCCAAGTGTCCCTTCATCATCAAAGGCCAAAATTGGATTCAAAGGAATTTCTGGGCTCTCACTGTTGGTGACATCTAATCTGGATGATTTAGATCCAATGGGTAAGTTTATAATTTCCTCAAAATTTTCATTCTGAACAGACACTCCATTTTCACTTGGTTGTTTTTCCAAATTGGGAGTACTAGTGGATTTGAAAAATCAAAATTGAAAGGAATTAGCATTAAAATTGGAAAACACATTTAAAAAAACAAAATATTTTATAATAAATAATTTTAGAATCAAATATTAGACGGATTGACCATATCATTCACAAAAATGGTGAATTTTGACATATTTATATTTGACATTATTTGTAAAAATCTGTTCTTTTTGTTATAGAAATTTATAAAATGGAATAATTTATCATTTAGAATAGATCATTGTTTCAACACACATTTAACAATTTCTACTGCAGGCATTTTCACACACCTTTGTTTGATAAACAGTAGCCCTTGTTAGGTTCTTTACTTCAAAGATGAGGGGATTATAATTTCGGGATAAGGGGGATAATCTGTAGAGTCACAGAACTACTGAGACATGGTCCAGACTGAATGCATGACCTCCTGATCTCTGGTCCTGTGTTTTGTTCATTATGACATTTTATATGCTACGTGGCTATTCAAGTTCTAGGTCTTCCTGGGTAGCTCTGGCTTGCTAAAACATGTACATAATTTTATAGGTAAATTGTTTAAGACCAACCTAACCAGAATCTGATTCTCATTAATTCATGCTTAATATCTTGGATCTATTTTTGAGGTACATTCAATTGGCCATCAAATCCTTAATTTTCTACCTACAGTTTCTCTTTGATTTTTTTCCTCTCTTTAAAACCTTCAAAACCAAATTGAAAGTCTTTTCTATGTTCATTATTATGCTTTATAATGTAGTAAAAACAATGCCTGTGCAAATGCTATCTTTAAAAAAAAATTTTTTTTTTAACGTTTATTTTTGAGACAGAGAGAGACAGAACATGAACGGGGGAGGGGCAGAGAGAGAGGGAGACACAGAATTGGAAGCAGGCTCCAGGCTCTGAGCTATCAGCCCAGAGCCCGACGCGGGGCTCGAACTCACGGACTGCGAGATCGTGACCTGAGCTGAAGTCAGACGCTTAACTGACTGAGCCACCCAGGTGCCCCAAATGAATGCTATCTTAATTGTTCACTTTACCTGAGGGCAGCATTAAACATAATATTTGCAATCTTCATAATTTGTTCAAGTGTGCAACTCAAAATGACCCTATTTGAGGTGCCTGGGTGGCTCAGTTTGTTAAACATTCGATTCTTGATATTGGCTCATGCTGTGATCTCTCAGTCGTGGGATTGAGCCTCACATCGGGCTCTGTGCTGAGCACGGAGCCTGCTTGGGTTTCTTTCTCTCTCCTCCCCCTCTCATCCTCTCCCCTGCTCTTGCACTCTCTCTCTCAAAATAAAGAAACATTAAAAAAAATGACTCCATTTGACAAAATTCTAGAGTTAAAACTGTCAAATGGAAAACGAAAAAGACTAAGAATATGAAGCAAAAATTGTGAAGGTTTTAACTTCTAATACATACTGATCATCAACCGAATATTTACCTATAGAAAGAGGTCTATGAAAAGAGGCCAAAGATCAGAATAGCAGATGTGTAGTATAGTGCCAACTGCTTGAACTTTAACATGTCAATTCATCTCTTTCTGTCTCCTTCCTAAATGGTAACATAAAGCTAACATACCTCAAATTTTTCCATTGCATCTTTTTTTGAGGAATCTGCTTTTCCCCCCCTTATTGAGGAAATAGTTTACCCAATTGGTGAGAAATGATGATTTTGTGGAACACATTCTCAAGCGTTTCTGATTTAGATATTTTGGTATATTTTTGTTAATCATTAAAACTTTTCTTCTTGAGAGAAAAAAAAAGCGCCTGTCCTAAGTGTCTCACAACGTTATTGTAGGGTACACTGAAAGTATTATTTATGAGACTGTGAAATATAACATAAAAACATTATACAGACTCAGAGTATAATGGTGCTTTTTTGCTATTTCACCAAGGAGGCTTGTATCACTGGAGTCTGCAGGAGTGTGGGCGCGCGCGCGCACACACACACACACACACACGCTTCACATTGCTGTTCTAAGTGCTTGGCCAGCCACCACACCCAGCCTCCAGGTTCTTTCCCAACACAAAGGCTTTCTGTAACCGGGGAAACAGTTTTGGTTCTCGTCCCAAAGAGATTTTCAGTAGAAGTTTTGGCAAAAGATACAGCAGAGGGGTGCGTCTCCAAGCCTCGTTCCTTGGTCATCCCCGCCGTCACCTTCTAGGCTTGCGTGTGCTAACAGGTGAACTGGCAACACCAACCCAGACTTGAGTCAACAGTTGACTTCATTTTCCCCTCCCACTCCTAGCTGACCTCCACACCCATTCTTACTTGTTAGCACAACTAGAGGAATGATTGTGCTATATGCTTTGGATGTCCAATTACTAAATGTTCAAAAGACACAGTGACCAGCAGAAACGATAAAACTGAAAATGAAGTCACTGGGGTTAGGGAATAGGCATCTGTATGTCCTCTCAGGGTAAGATCACCAGCTTTTGAATTCTTGTTCTTTGGTTATACTCTGGCAGCCGAAGCTGGGTGCAAGAGTCTTGAAGGCTGTGTACTTTGCTTGGTCCGTCTAAGATCTACCCGAAGAGGGGGCACCCGGCTGGCTCAGTTGGTGCAGCATAGGACTCTTGATCTTGGGAGTTGTGAGTTCAAACTCCACGTTGTGTGTAAAGATTACTTAAAAAAAATCTGCCCAGGGAAGGGGGCTAGGTTCATGGTAAAATCTGACAGTCCATACAGCTTACTGTAGCCAGGACCTTATTCTTTCTTAACATTTATTGTCATGTTATAGCAAGTAACTTTAAAATTAAAAGTGATACATTTCTTTCTGTTTGAATGACAGGTGTGTGGCAATGTTACTTTCCCTTTAGGGGAAACTAAAAACAATTATAAACTCCTAAGATTGGGAGGAAAACCACTAGGTCAAAAGTCAAAATTACTACAAATCATTTAAGATAGAAGGATCATTCTATTGAAAAGACAGCCCTCAGAGCCAAGAACAGGATGAAATGTCTTCTGGGTATTAGCAAGGTAAGACAGTGGCTCATGAGAATTTTTTAGCTACTAGAACAGATTCTCTGCTGGGGTTGGAAGAATATATCAGAATGACCTGAGAAACTTAATGTCTGTCCTCCCTCCTCCACACTCCATACATACTTGTACTCACACATTCATCTGTATCCTCTGTTTCTTGTTCCAAAGCAAGTTTGTTATCCACAAATAAATACTCTCCTCCATCCTATGGGCTCCCCCTCTATTAACACTCATTCTCAAAAACTAAAAATGGTTTCTGGAATAGGAATCATCCTGCCCAGGCTCCTTTATTTCTTTGTACCTTTAAAAGCTAGCCAGAGTTTTGGTAACTCCAACCCTCTTCAATTTACCTACTGTCAGTGGGGATCCTGTTGGGCAAGGAGAATTGTTTTCAGGCTTTAAAAGCACTGCACACCAAAGGCTGAGAGCAGGAGAAACCACAGGGGCCAGAAGTGTCACTCAGGCCCCTTGAGGCTGAAGGAAGGTTCAGGGTGTTCCTGGTGCAGGGTTTCTCTGCACCAGGAACTGCTGCTACTCCTAGTCCCAGCTGCTGGAAAATACTAGGAGGACACTATCATCCCAGGGTGCTTCCAGACCGTGTGCTGACATATCTCCAGGGGGAGATGGGGGTGAATATAACCCAGTTTACCGCACTCATTTATTTTTCCTGAAGAGAAGGTAAACCAATGTATTAGGTAGCCGAGGCATTAGGAAAAGTGAAACTCCTCCGATTCTGAACTAAAAATATTCATTCTTAGGACTGGAGTTTTCTAGTGAGAATAAACCCTGCTGCAGTGCTTACAGCATTTGTCGTGATGGATTTCCACAGAGGGTCACCCAGGTCAGGTTCTTGGGAAGGGACCCTGGGAACCTCTAGTTAGTGATTTATCTCACTAGTGAGCAGCCTGGAGGGATCTATGACTTTACTTTAGGTGCCTAGTAAGGTATTTAATAAACATATTGACGGATTACAAGAATTATGGAAGGCTTCATTGACCGTAATGCACTCAGGTAAAAAACAATGACTTGGGAAGTGATTTCAAGGTGGACTTGAAACTGAGGGTAAAAGGGAACATCCATGGATGCGATTTGTTTGTAACTTTAATGACGGGATTTCAGAAGTAATACTGTTTAAAAATACCAGCCCCCCACTGAAGCAAAGGGAGTGTGAGCGGGAAACTGTCTTATAGGGAAGAGTATGAAAGGTCAGTGCGGGCAGGTCCTTTTCCAGGCAGGAGAGTCTCAGTGGCAGGTAGCCTCAGGGGTCGGCGCTAACATTAGTTGTATAGTAACTGGACATGTAGGAGGTAAAATTTAAGTATCCAGATCATGTTTATTCTGGGAAATGTAAGTTGTAAGAATAATCCCTTGAGGACAACGGGAAAAATCATTAAATGTAAACAACATAAAAGGCAGTGGGTTTAGAGACCTGTAAACTGAACCATCCTCAGAAGATGAAGACCTATCTATCAGTCACAAGGGAGGTAAGAGATCTGGGAATCTCTGGAAACTGGATCTGGGTGACACTGATTCCTCATGTTTTTGTGGTTAAAGAAAAGGCCAATAAAATGGGAGGCATGAGAAGGTGTGCTATCAGACACAATAAAAGCATTTTTTTATAACATCACACTGCAGCTGCACCAGTGTTTGATGTCTTCTGGACACCGTACTTTAGAAGGATAAAGGTAAAATAACATCTGACATTTGTATAGTACAACAGTTTTCAGAGCGCCTTCACAGACAGTATTTCATTGGACCCTCCAGAACTTTGGGGGGGAAAACCTCTTCGTGTCCAGATGAGAAAACTAAGTCTTATTTAAGTAGGTTAATCCCAAAGTCTGAGAACGGAGATAAAACTAGGGAATCCAGCCTGGGAATTTTGGTTCTAAAGCTCTTCTTCCTCAACCTCACACTCATGCTGAAGAATCTCCAGAGAAATAGGACTAGAATGACAAAGAGCTGAGGAGGAGCCTTTTTTAAAGACAAGGTAAACTTGTCAGGTATTGTTTTCTTTTGCTTTTGCCTCCAAATTCATCCTTCATTCCTGCCCTGAAACCGGATGTGGGCCCTTGAAAAATTTTTTTCTTTTGACGTTAATTTATTTATTTAGAGAGAGAAAATGCAAGTGGGAGAGGGACAGAGAGCCAGAGAGAGAGAGAGAATCCCAAGCAAGCTCCACGCCGTCAGCGTGGAGCCTGACGCGGGGCTCGATCCCACGACTGTGAGATCATGACCTGAGTGGAAATCAAGAGTCAGACGCTTAACAGACTGAGCCACCCAGGTGGATCAGGGTCCTTTAAATAATCTTCCTTTGCCAGCTGGCACAATCTCCAAGCTTCGCCATTTAAGGCTGCTGGAGAGACGCTGCTCGAGGAAAACTGGGCTTCCTGGTTTGGTTGTGCTTGCTCGACAGGCTGCTTCGGCACATGCCTGTGGCATTCCCAGTTGTCTGCCCTCCGCAGTGCTATGAGGCTTCCTCAGCACCCAGCCCAGCCCCGGCAGCAAGAAGGGCTTCCCCGTGCACCTACCGAGGGCCGACTTGTGGTTGACAAGTCTCTGCCTCTACTGAGACACCTCTTGGTGAACAGCCTCCCCAAACATTCTAGAGTAGATATCTGCCAAGTTCCACCATCAAGATACATGACAACTTCCTTACCATCTAGTGGGTCACGGCCATACCTTCTCGAACAAGGTCTGAATGGAAGCCATGGTGCAGGTGACTCTTCCTTGGGTGTGGCCCAGGGATGTGGCTGCTCTTTATACCTGCTATTTCTGTATTCTTTTTTTTTTTATTAAAAAAATTTTTTTAAATGTTTATTCAATTTTGAAAGAGACGGAGCATGAGCAGGGGAGGGGCAGAGAGAGAGAGACAGAAAATCTGAACCAGGATCCAGGCTATGAACTGTCTGCACAGAGCCCAACGCAGGGCTGGAACACATGAGCTGTGAGATCATGACCTAAGCTGAAGTCAGAAACTCAACCGACTGAGCCACCCACGTGCCCCTCCTCTATTCTTGAGTTCTCTTGACTTCCTACTAGCAATATGTTGTTGCTCTAATCCCAAGTAACAGTTAACAGATTAATCTCGCTGGTTTCTCTCTCCTGACTGATATACTCGCTGGACCCTGACTGATATACTAAGCACAGTAGGGATATTCAATTTAAAAGATGAAAGAAAAAAAAGAACAGAAACAAAACCTGTAAAATTACAAAAGGTATGGAAATTGTGAGAAAGGACTTATTCCCTAAAACCTAGTTTTTGACAACTATGGGTCCTAACCTTGAAACTGCACATAGGTTAGAAAAATAAAAAATGCTTCTTTCTGCACTTTTTGTTACTAAAAAAGATGAGGCTAAGTGAAAATACAAATTGTTTCAACATCAGTGTGCACAAATTCAAGGAAGATAAATTTAGAAATAACTGAGAGAATCAGAGTTTCTTGGGCTGCATCTCACAAACTCTGTATCATGCAACAGGAAACAACAGCACATTAAACACCCCCTATCGGCCAGAGTCGTTCAGAAATGGACTGTGTTCATGTTTTCATTCTGATAAAAATTTTTTAAAAAGCCCCCAAAGAATAGTCTGATCATCTACACAGCAGGTTATCATAAAGCTGAGTTTTACATGATTTTAGTGCTTCACTTTGCATTAGTATTTCAGAGCATACTGTACCACATTATGTGGCAAGGGCTGATGACAAATGAACTGGGTTGAACTGGGCATATAAATATTGGGTCAGTGCCAAGTAAAAGCCAAGTGACGTCATGGTACACTGTATGAAAAGAGATTTGAGGTTTTAAAGCAGTTTAAATAGAGAAAAGCCACGGGTGAAATAAATGCAGAAGCTCACGGTAGCTAAGAACATCCCTCATGCCAATGGGATCAGTCAGTACCACGTGTATAAATGTTGGCTTAATTTCAGAAAAATATTCTTCACAATAAATGACCTCTTTTAATTTGAATAGTCTTGGGCTAGTAGTGTTATTTTTTGTTTTGGCTTTCTAAACAAATACAAGCTATTAACATTTTAAACCCAAGTTTATCTCTGTGAAAATAATAAAGGTACCTCTTATATAACTGGGAATCTGCTAGAATTTTTTTCCTTAAAGGGCAGGTACACGGGGCCAATGAATTTAATTGGTTAAGGTCATTCTAGTATTATATGCTAATGTCCATAGTTGATACTAATCAGGACCTGCCTATATTGTTAGGTGACAGTGGAAAAGTCTATGCTTATATTTTTCCTGATGGTTGACAGGGATCATATCATACTACATGTATGACAAAGGACAATGTGTCACCTGGGTGAAGAAGGATGGCATCAGTAAGGTCATATTGCTATACTTTTTAATTATAAACTGTTGCTATTCTGTGTGCAGAGGCTAAGAGAAAATCGAATTTTATCATCTATCTCAGTCTACATGGTACAATTATGTTTCAGGTATTTATATACATAATGATTATTTACTTGATGATTTTACCACTGAAAAAAGTCAGCTAACGTGTAAACTATTGTTATTGATCAGATAAAATTATCAGTGGCTTACTAAACTTATTCCTTATCGTAATAATGTGGTTCTCCCTGTGGTACTTTTTATTCTTTCATAAAAGTCTCCTTTTTTAAAGTAATGAATTGAACATCATAAATTATAGCGGCTGGGGATGAATATTTTATTTGAAAATCAAGCTGTAACTAAAAGAATAAAGTATGACTTAATAAATATCTTGGGTAATGACAATAAATTTACTCAACGTAGTTGAAAGCTTATTAATAAGATCTCTCTTAGGAAAGTTCCTCTCTTTGGTATTATAGTGGGAAAAATAAAGATTTTACTGTTCCAGAAACATATCAATGGATATCTTATGACTTTATGAACATCTTAGGATGTCTGTCTTAGGATGACTCATCTTTTCATTGCTGCCAATATTACAAAATGTCGTGCAATGTGTGTTTTTAGATTAAGAAAAAAATTAACTTGAAGACCTTCAATTTTCTGATGGCAACAAAGACTCTGGCATTAAAGACAGGATAACTTATAGAATATAACTAAGTACATTAAAAAAAGTCATAGCTGAAATTTTTGAACAGTATTACAAATATTTCTAAAATTTCTCTATGACTGGAGTTTTAGGCCTAGGCTAGGATCACCCTGATTTTTCATTTTTGAGAGTGCTCTTATGATGCTGTCGATATAAATGCCAAAGAAGAGAAAGGCAATCTTTTTTCAACCCACAATTCTTTCTTGACTGTTGTTAGCAACCGTTTGTTTCTTCTATAAGAAGCCCTACTACCAATATAAGAATTATTGGCATCGAAATTATTTTACTGGAGAACCAACTGTGACTTACTAGAACATTCTGTATGGTAAAAATACAGCAGTTATATGCCATCAAAGGATATGAATATGGTCTAGATCATGTTAAATATATACAAACAAATTCTTCCCCGTAATTTTCTTTAACAGGCACACACAGACCTGACTATCCACATATATTTTTTAATGGCTTATTTATTTTGAGAGAGAGAGAGAGAGAGAGAGAGAGAGGTGAAGAGAGAGGGAGAGAGAGAGTTCTCCAGCAGGCTCCACACTCAGCGCGTAAGATCATGACCTGAGCCACCCACCCACAACCATGAGATTATGACCTGAGCCTAAATCAAGAGTCAGACACTTAACCCACTGAACTACCCAGGCACCCCAAACCTATCATATTTAAGGACTTCAGTAAAAAGATATTTTGCCTTTTTCTGAGTATGGAATTACTAGCTTTACCCAAAGTTAATGAACCCAAATAAAAATAAATCTTTATGTTTACATTTTGGAATTCCATCAGGCCTAAGAAGTTCTGGTGGGATTAGTGCTCTGCTCTAATGCGCATCGGTAGAAAAGACCCCCCGGTTGTCTAACTCACCTCTCCACAGTCACTTTTGATTGGTGTGAGGTAACGGCATGTGGGCTGGCCACTGGTTCTCCATTTCCTGAAGAGTCTGTCAGACACGGAAGGGCAGATACCACTGAACATAACAGCAAAGAGGATGGGACAAAGGGTTACTACTACTCTATGGTCAAACCCAAACCCCAGGAGCCAGCATGCCTGCATTTATCTCCTGGCTCTGCTACTTACCACCTGTGTGACCTTGGGCAGGCCACAAACTCGGTGCCTCCCATTTCCTCCCGGATAAGAATACCTACCTCACAGCACTATGGTGAGAATTAAATGTATTAACATATGCGGAGTACTTACGACAGTGTCCAGCACGGTATGAGGGTGGCAATCAGTGTTGGGTGTTATTTTTGCTTGCACTGAATAGACTTTGGACAGAAAGTATATAATGTTGAAACCAAAGCAACTGGTGAAGACAGCAGTAAGCTGACCTGATCAGGCTGACAGTGAGTATCTTTAGATTTGGAGCAAATCACCATGAACTACCTCAAGTGATGAGAAATATTTTTTTAAACTCAGTTTAATTCTAGGTGCACTCAGAAGATAAGGGTTTCACAAATGGAAGGCCAGTGAACTGTACCTAGCTGTGCCACCTCTTCATTCAGTGCTCCACTTTGCAGTCCAGCGTAAGCCAACAATATTGATGACAGACTCTAAAATCTGGGCCTGGGTTCTTTAAAGTCTTGTAAACCTTCATAAAGGTCCGAGTTCCAAGGAAGTCTCATTTCACAGCATAGCATGAGCTCAGTAACGCTGCTAGAAGTACAGGGAGTCTGATAACTGAACTTTATTAAAGATGCCAGAATTTGCCAAATTGGTAGTAGGCAGCCTCAGAGATTACCGATAGGTCTGAAAACTCACCTGCCTGCCTGCCCTCGAATTCTCTTTGGAGCCCTGGCAACAGCATTCAGCCCTCAACCACATATGGGACTGGACAAAGAGGGATATTTGTTAGCCAGATAAACCTCAGGCCCTTTTCAGCATATGAACTCAAACCAGACTTATTGTGAGTGTTGATAAACACAGATAGGATGATTGGCAAGTTTCACCTTCCCTGTTGCCTTGGTGGATTCTCGAGCTGAGGTACAAAGAATACTGAAAGAATTGTTAAGGGAATAGCAGGAAGGGGGAAGATGGAAAAACAAAGAAAAAAAACAAGGAAACTGGCCATGCACGAACTACAGCATCAGCCCCTCAAATAACCCTGCGATGGTGCAATTTACATCCTAAAATGCTCATTCTGATGACTCACAGGGGGTTACGCCTTCATAGGGTCGCCACGTATTACAAGATTTGCAATAATGCAGTGAGTGGGGTTAATAGATGATCACAAGGGTTATCTTCCAAACAAATATAATTAGGGCATCTTTAAAAACCATGAAAAGTCTACTATGAAGGAATCATGAAATCATTTGATTAGTCCAGTCTTAAAAGAAAAAAAACAGCAAAGGAAAGTGGGGTATCTCTGGTCCTTTCTTATCATATTGATACTGCAGATGAGGAAAGAGGAAGGCTACAACAATGGGCTCTCTACCCACCACCTGTATGTACAATCATGAAGACGACGTGGGATCACAGAGGAAGAGTTACGAGCTTGCACTTCAGCTCTGGGAGCTGGGTTGGTCACGCTGCTCCTCGGGGGAAGGAAACTGGCCTGTCCTGTCCCACGGACTCCCAGCACCTGCAAGGAGGCCTGGCACATGGCAGGTCTCTGGAAATGCTTGCTGACTCCAAGATAAAGCACTCAACCTCACAAAGCTGCAGTGGAAGTTCAACAAGAAAATGTATGCAGGATGTATATACATCCTGGCACAAAGAGGCCCCTTAATAAATACTAATTGAACCTGGGTACTAACACACTAAGGCAACTTTTATTTAAAGCAAATTTCTTTGAAAATCACCAAGAAGTTAATGATCTCTGTCCAAAGCCTATAGGTCTCAACAACTTTCTAATGAAATTTTAACAAATTTTTAATTTTAACTCTATTCTGAAATCAGAAGTTAAAAAAGCATAAATTCTTTTTTGAGAACTGCTGTAAATACAAGTTTTCAAAATGTGTACGTTTAGAGTACTTAAGAGCAAATATACATACATGCTAATTTAGCAGACAGTAAATGATAAATGAAATTTAATTTTATAACACCAACAAAATTCTTCTCATTATGTGTGTATATATATTTATGTGTGTATACACACAGGGATATACAAATCTATATCCACAGATATGGATACTTATAATGTGAAATGATTTAAGATATTAAGCACACCATTAGAGTATAAACTAATATGACAAAACATCTGCCACAAATGCAAGAGCGTTTTCCATAAGGGGAAAATCTGCGGACTAGAGGACACACACCTAAGCTTCTGTACATCAATGAGTAACTTTTTTGTGTGTAACCAATCAAGAAATATCCTGATCTCTAGAGAGTTAATTCAAAAACTCTTGTCTACATTTGAATTTATTTGAATTCACTGAAGCAAATACCTGTTTCTCCAGTGAGAGCTCCCTTGGTTATATCTCCGTTTCTCTGATCAACAGTTTTCTACAAAAAAAAAAAAAAAAGATTTTTTAAATGTTAAAGTTAGAAGTGAAAGGAAAAAAAAGTTATTAGGAATAGTTTAAAAATGGCCATCTCAGTACCTTATCTGTAGGTTCTGTTCGTCTTGTTCTTTTCATAATCTCCTCAAGTCGCTACAAGGAAGGGAGAATTGAGCAAAAGGATCAAATCCAGAAAGAAGGCTAGCCTGGCACATTTCACTGACTAAGCAAATGGGTCATTAAAACACGTCTGTTACTTTGGGTAATTATAATACACACTGCTTTGGCCTAATTGGCATTATTCACAAAGCTGGAACTGACTGAAGGCACATGAATCAGAAGGAACTGTTTATGGTGAGCGCCCCACTATGAAGACTGATTTCTTTGGAGGAGATGATGAATCCTGAGAGCTACCCTACCCTTGATCCCAACAGGACTCTTACATGGTCCACCTTCCTCCTGCCCTGTAACGGAACATTATAACCTTTGTTTATTTACATAGCTTTCCTTGCGGGGAGGGGGTCGAATTCATTACTAAAATGTCTCGTTAGTGGATTAAACAAGCAGAGCACGAGCAGAACACACGTGCTTTCTGAGAGCAGTGAGCTAATGTCTGGGGCCTCCCGTGGCTTCAAGTCTGGGGAAGAATGGGCACAGTTAGCATCCCAGGTTTCCGCGTTAGATGCAATCACCTTCTTTCTTTCCAGGCGCTCCTGCTCTTCTCTCTGGAAGTGCTTCTCCCGCTCCTGCCGGACCCTCTCTGCTTCCTCCCGAACGCGAGCTTCTTCTTCCTTCTGGAAACAAGAAGACGGCCTGTGCTTCTGGCCAGCAGGGTTGCTCGCTGCCCCCATCCCTGGGGTGAGGGTGGGGGTGGGGGGGTGAGGAGGTGGCTCCAGGAGGTGCGGGCGCGCGGAGAAGTGCAAGAGGCGAGCGCGTGCACGAGACGGGGCGGGAGGACTTGCACCCCCCCCCCCCCCCCCCTGCCCTGGACACTCTCCCCCTCCCCAGGGCCCCGCCGGGCGGACCCCTACCTGCTTCTGCGCGCGCTCCTCGCCCTCGCGCTCGCGCCGCTCCCGCTCCTCCTCCGCTTGCCGGCGCAGCTGCTCTTCCCGCTGCCGGGCCTGCTCGGCCTCCAGCCGGCGGGCCTCCTCCTCGCGCCGCGCCCGCTCTTCCGCCACCTTCTGCGCCAGCTCCTCTTTCTTTTGTCTGCAAAAAGACATGCGAGGGGGGCTCCCTGGACAGAGGCTAGGGTTTGTGGCTCCAGCAGGGGCAGTCTGTTCTGAGGGCTGGGGGAGGGGGGGAATCTCCACTGGGGACGCTCAGCGTGGTTCGTGGTCAAAACGTGAAGCGACCCTCCATGCTTCATCTTTCCGGCCTCATGTGGCCTTGTAGTAAACAGAAAACGAGACCACTAGTATTTCGAGGAGCGCTTGTTTTGTGGAAGTCCGTGCAACGTAATTATCCTTAAAGGCCGAGACTTGTTTAATCCACTAACGAGACATTTTACTAATGAATTCGACCCCCTCCCCGCAAGGAAAGCTTTGTAATAAAGGTTATAATGTTCCGTTACAGGGCAGGAGGAAGGTGGACCATGTAAGAGTCCAGTTGGGATCAAGGGTAGGGAACGTCCAAGATCGCTGCCAGCACAGGGGCTGTGGTCCTCCCCCCCCCCCCCCCCGCCCCACGCCCCCAACGTGCTGTTGTGCTTATTTGAAGAACAATTTGCATTGACATTGGTTTTTTTTAGCCCCAGGAGGAGGCCAACTAAGCAAACTGTCCCTCCAGCAAACTAGCAGGCAATCATGTGGACACATTAACTGTCTCACCCAGCTACTCTGAGAGTTCTATCTAGAAGAAACCATGAACTCTTACTATGCAGCTTTAAAACGATAATTAGGAAGATAATAAGGAAATATGGAGATCAGAAATATGTTCAGTAAAAAACAATCAGTGCACAGTTGTACCTCCACTGTGCTTAGAATTATGTAAATAGATGTCTGTGTGTACATACTTATGTACGTTTATAAACCTGCACACTGTTCAGAGACTGGAAAGGATGATCTCAAATCCACTCTTCCAATTATTGAAAACTGGTAAGATGATGGACAGATTTTTTTCCTTGAAGCCTTTCCCCATCAGTGTTGTGGCACTGTCAGTATAATAAGAAAATGTGATTTTAAAAAAAAATCACTTAGCGGTCAGAGACACGATTGTGAAGCAGCTAATCCGTTCACCATCATGACTGCCACCACCTCTCGTGTCTCTCAGACGGAAGACTTAATCCCAGGTATCCCTAGGAGGTCACCGCTCATTGAGCACGGTCACCGCTTTACCTTTCCAGCTCTTCCCTCTCCCTCTTCTCCCTTTCCTCCTTCTCTCTCTGCTCCCGGGCCAGCCGCCTCTTCTCAGCTAGCAGCCTCGTGGCCTCTTCCGGGTCGGTGGTGCCCGCAGAGGTCTTGGGAGAAGCGCAAGCAGTCACAGTGGATGGCGAGGCTGGGGCTGAGGCTGGGGCTGGGACCGGCGCTGGAGCAGGGGCCGAGGGGGCCACGGCTGGGGCTGAAGCAGCTGTACAAACAGGTACAACGAGAAAACCAACTGGAAACAAAACCCAAAGAACAAAACAAAAACTAGCATTCCCCACACCCCAGGCCTAGAATTCATCATTGTAAAAGAAAAGGGAATGTTTATTACTGCGTGTTCTCATGGTTTCACCGTATTCTATTTGTAACCAAGCAACATAACAAAAAGGTGCATGTGTAAGTGAGCCATCCTACAGGGCTGATGCTCTGTCACCAAGTCCTATTTTTATACAAGTTCATCAGTTAACAACATGTATCGAGTGTGTACTCGGTAGAGAGCCTCATGTTAGGTTCTGTGGGAAGTTATACCCTGAACAAAAAGATGAGATCTTCCATTTGCCTTTCGTTACATTAAAAAGATTCCTTCTCTTAGTGACCATTACTAGAGGACTAAAGCCTTTCTATGAGTTTCCTCAGCATCTCTGCCACGAGCCCAGATTCAGGCTGGGAAGATGACACCTGACGAAGAGGTCCCTGTTGTCTACCCATAGCTGTCTCCAGGTCTGAGGTGGGAGGAGCCATAGGCCTCTTCAGGAGCCAGTGCTAGTATTCCCATACATTTGGGGCTCCACTGTCTGTCCTGATGCCAGGATGGAGCACAAGTCCCATGGCCTCATTCAGATTCAGGAAACGGCCGAGAGAGCTGATCCGGGAGGGAGTCCACGCAGATGCACCTGCTGTGAGATGTGATCTCTAGCATTCTAGACCCTCCTCTCAAGATTCACCTATCTCCTTCTGCCCCTACACATTTTTTCTTTGTCCTCAGGACACTTTTTGGCCTTTCTCTTCTACCCCTTTCCATGCAAACAAATACTGGACTCTTCCATTGTCTAACGACACTGTTGCCTGTCTTGAGTCATCTATTCTTTCTTTGCTCCTACCACCTACCTTCAGATTAAGTCTTAAGGAGAAAACTTTTGAACGAAGACAATTTTCAGCAAGAAATACTGAATTCCTAGTTCGAGGTGATTTTTAAATTCTAGATAGTGTCTGGTTTCGCCTGGTAGAGAGGAGATCCATTGGGTCTTCTGAAACAAATTCTGTCAAGCATAGAGGCTAGCCAGGGGTCCTGAAACTCCCGTAGGCACAGGAAAACTGGCCATTCTGTATTTTGTCTGGCAGTCCTGCACCGGAATTGATGGCGAAGCTCAGTGTCTTTCTGACTCCCTGGATCTAGCATATACTTGGATTCAGTAGGTCTGAGGTAGGACCAGGGCTCTGTACATTAAAACATCATAGAAATCGTGGATCAAAAATATTTCCGTAAGATCTTCCTTCTCAAAGGTGGAACTCACACCCTTCCCTTGAGTGTAAGTTGAACCTAGTGACTTGCTTCTAATGAATAGAAGATGACCGAAATTGTGACTTCTGTGTGTACGACTTCTGAGACTAGGCACAAAAGGTGTGGCTTCCTCGTGATGCTCTCTCTCAGATCGTGCTCTCTGGGGAAAGCCAGGAAGTCCAGCGGATGGACCGTAAGGATATCAAGTAACCCAGGTTCATGTGTCATGAAATGGAGCTCAGCCATGTGTATGCACCACCTGCCAACAACCCAGCAAAGCTGCTTCCAAACTCCTGATCCAAGAATCTGTGTGACATGACATAGTAACTGCTGTTATAAGCTGCATAGTTTTAGCAAAATTTGTTACACAGCAATAGATAACGAATACAAATGATCCTGATGCAGGTGGTCTGAACACCACATTCTGTGAAACACTGGATTCAGCCAATAAAAGGAGTCATAAACGCTACCTGAATTAATATACTATGGCTCCAAAAATAGGATTTTGATTGGATGATTCTTTGTATGTAAAACAAAATCACACTTAGGAAAAGTTTGCAAAATTAACCTCAATAAAATTTCCAAGTCCCCAGTAAGAGCAAGCAACCCACACTCCATCACAAGTCAGCCGAATCTTACCAGGAGCAGCCTCTGGTTCGACAGGTGTCCCCTCTTCAACTGTGGCTTCTTCCACCTTCACTAAAGGTGCTCTGCCCTTAAGTGACGGCTCACTGGCAACTTTCTGGGGTTCCTTCTCGGGTTCTTTTCTCTCAGATTCCACTCTGACTTCTCTCTTGACAGGGCGGATGTTGCCAGGGGATGGGGGCCGGACCTGGGAAGGGGTAGCTTTGACTGATCCGGGAGGCAAGGAGGAGGCTGGTCTGGGTGTGCCAGGCAGATGAGGAAAGGACTTGGATGGAAGCCTGGGTGACAAACAGTGGCAAGAGAACAGGAGACATCAGAGTAGGCTTTCCCGAACCTTCCTTTCCTCACACTTCTACCCCATGATAGTACTAGAACACCAATAAGGAAAAGAAACGAAGATATTCAGCTGCGTGTATTTGCTTTTTATGCAGCAAACACAAAAATATTCACTCTAGACTCTTTCCTGTTTTCTTTTTCTTTTCCTCCAAGGAAAAAATATTATTCCTGACGTCAATGCCAAACAGCGTGGAAAGAATAGTTTCCTTTCAGAGGACAGAGGCTACAAATTCTTCAACATGGAACAACCCAGCCAGCTTCTTAAATTTCGCTTACCAAAGTCGGGAGGGCCCTGGTGATCTTACTTTGGGATGAGATGGAGACAGAGCCCTCCGAATGCCACACGTGGGTTGGAACGGGAGGTTTTCTCTCTCTCTGTCTCTTTTATAGCCCTAAGTTCAGAGAAACACAATAATTAGATTTTGCTATAGGAGTGGGACAATCCCATTCACAGTATTCAATAGTGGAGCCACAACCCATTGAGTGACTTCTTGGAAATTTTCCAACTTTTGTCATTTATACCCATTCCACTCCCACAAAAAGCCCTTGTTAGCTTAACACTGAATATTGTCAACTGAATTAACACAATCTGACACTAATAATAAAGCTCTGGATGTCTGATCTGGAGTTATAGTTGTTTAAAAAAATACACACTTATACTCTTAGAAAGCACCTATATATACTTTGTGCCTAAAATCAGCTGGGGCAAAATCTCTCACTGTCTGGTTCAAACCACACAAATATCAAAATTAACATCACTTCCATTCCCTTCTCCCCCCTCTTTTAATTCTTTAGCATTTTTTTTCTTTTTTTCCACCTTGGAACATGGACATAACTGCAGTCTTTTTTTTTTTTTTTAAATAATACCTGTCTGCTACACCAGACATTAATATATTTTCCCCTTTATACTGATACTACATAAATAAGTCCTTTCTCACCTAATGTCCTCTTGCTCTTGAAGGAAAAGTTATGTTCCAGGTGAAGAATTCTAGCTATTTTTAATCTTCTTCTTTAAGGATAAAATTGAAATGGCAGAGTGGGTCAAAACATCATCCCTTTTCTAGCTGCATCCTATAAATTCAGCCAGAGAGTGATACCTTTTCTAACTCGAAATGAGCAAAGGGAAACCCAGAGTGTTCCGATAATGTATAGTCAGCCAAGACAAAAAGACCAAAACAAAACAAAACAACAACAACAAAAAAACAACAAAAAAGCAAAGAGCAAGAAAGACTAATTCTAAGTATCTGAAACTTGCCAACAATGTTCTGGCCTGGGAATGGATACTCACTGGATACACCTGTGCAAGCACCTGTCAGTCCTTAACTCTGTTAGGATCCTTGCAGGAAAGCAGACTGTGAGAGCCCAAGGAAAGGGACAGAACTTTATCTAGCCGCAGGGCCACGAAGCTGGTAGTGTACCTTCTCTTCTTTCTGCCCGGTACAAGCATCGACTCCCCTCTTCCTTCCTTTCCCACGTTTGTTTCCCTTCAGTGTCCCTTCTAATTGCTCCTCTCCACTTTCCTTAGAAGCATTCTAGTTGCTTGACTGGGCTGTAGGTGGGGGAAAAACATGAGTATCAAATAATACTCAATGTCTTCCCGGGATTTCTAAATAAAACAAATGAAGACTGGGGCAGGAAAAAGTTTTACAAGATGTGTGCCAGCTCTATATCACTTGTGGCTGCACGACCATCCTTTGCCCCCATTTCTGGTCCCAGAAGGTGGGAGGTGAGGGCTCAGAGAGCAGCTGTAGTCCTTGGGCACAAAAGTGTCAGCCAGCACATGGGACCCTTCTGGAAGGGATAGAGGGTGGCAATTATGCCTTGGGAATATCAGTGCCAGAGTGGAAGGCCTGGGGCTCTTCCCAAGAGAAGCTGGGGTTATGCACCTCAAGTAGCTTTTTCCTTTTTCTGGAAACATTTGAATGTGGTTGAAGTCAAATTAAGGAGAGCTCTGAATGGGAAAATAAGTCCGGAAGTGTAGCTCGTGATGCGGGGGATACACGGATGAATTTCATCATCTGGGTCTTAAGACAGGCATTGAGGGAATGAACCTACAAAGATCTGTATAATCCTTCTTTTTGCATTAAAAAAAAAAAGTCTTCTTTTTTTAAAGTGGCATTGAATCAATTCTTTCTTTCCTAAAACTGACCACCTTAAAGGGGTAAGGGAAACAGGGAAAGAGCAGTTTAGAAAAATGCCCCATACTTAAGATAACATCCTCTCAGGCAGGTAGATGCTTTTACTCTCTTAGTTCTTTTAGATGTCTTTTCATTGGTCTGGCACCCAATCACCTATTTGGGGACCACACGTGTAAAGGCACTCCTTATCCTCATCCTGATCTGAGTTAGTAGCCAACGGTCTCTACAATAATCTTCCCTGTTAATAATTTCCACAAGGCTACACTAAGGTGGAAGGCACAGCAAGGTGCCCATGTCAATGGTGCTGGCAAGTTTCCCAGCAGGACAAAGACTTTCATTTTCCAATTAGAGTTAGGTTTAGAATACAAATAACTTTCAAGAGAGATAATACAGACAAATACTCCAAAGCAGACTGAAGTCCAATAGAACTTTCTGTGATGACTGAAGTAATCAACATCCATGCTGTCCAATACACTAGCCACGTTTGGCTATTTGAATTTCGGTCTAAATTAACTAAAATTAAATAAAATTGAAAATAAAATTATGAAAACAGTTCTATTTGTAACAGCATCAAAAAGAATTAAATACTTAGGAATAAACTTAATCAAGAAGGCAGAAGACTTGTACACTGCAAAACAAAAGAAATGAAAGAAGACAAAATGGGAAGACAGTCTATGTTCACAGACTAGATAGAAGACAGACTTATTGTTAAAATGTCAACACTGCCCGAAAGCAACTACAGAGTCAATGCAATCCCTATCAAAATCCAATGTTGTTTTTGCAGAAATAGAAAAATTAATCCTAAATTCATATGGAACCTCAAGGTACCCTGAGTAGATAAGACATTCTTGAAAAGGAGAACAAAGTCAGAGGTCTTGTACTTTTGATTTCAAAACATAATCAAAACAGTGCGGTACTGGCATAAAGATAAGCATATGGACCAATGAAATAGCCCAGAAATAAATCCTTGTGTATATGGTCAGAGGATCCTTGATAAGGGTGCCAAGACCACTCAGTGGGGAAAAGATAGTCCCTTCAACAAACGGTGTTGAGAAAACTGGGTATCTACATGCAAAAGAATGTAGTTGGACTCTACCTCACACCATATACAAAAACTAACTCCAAATGGATTAAAGACCTAAATGTAAAACTTAAAATTATAAAATTCCTGCAAGAAAGTTGAGGAAGCTTCGTGACATTGTTTTTGGTAATGATTTCTTGGATATGGTACCAAAAGGCCACAAAAGCAAAAAGAGACAAATGGGACAACATCAAACTTAAAAACTCCTGTGCATCAAAGGATACATACAATCAACAGAGTAATAAGGTAACCTACAGAAAGAGAAATATTTGCAAATCATGTATCTGAAAAGAGATTAATATCCAGAACATGTAATATCCAGAATATGTAAATATCCTACAACTCAACAACAACAACAACAAAAAAAAGATTAAACAAATTAAATAATAAGAATAAAAGATGAGCAAAGGACTTAAGTAGATATTTCTCCAAAAAAAGATATGTGAATGGTCAACAAGCACATAGAAAGATGCTCAGTATCACTGATTGTTAGGGAAATGCAAATCAAAACCACAGTGAGATAGCACCTCACACCATTATGATTTTCACAAGAAAATAACAAGTGTTGGTGAAGATGTGGAAGAACCGGAACCCGTCTATATTGTTGGGGGAACGTAAGTTAAATGGGGCATTGCTATGGAAAACAATATGGCAGTAGGGCAAAATATTAGAAATAGAATGACCACAAAATCCAGCAATCCCACTTCTGGGTATATATCCAGAACAACTGGAGGCAGGGTCTTGAAAGAGATCTGTTACCCACATATATAGCTGTGCTATTCATAGTAGTCAAGAGGCAGAAGCAACTCAAATGTCCATCAGCGGATGAATGGATTAGCAAAATGTGGTGTATATGCGTGTGTTTGTGTATATGCATACATACATACAATGCAGTTTTATTAGCCTTAAGGACAGAAATCCTGTCACATGCTACAACATGGATGGACATTATGCAAAGTGAAATAAACCAGTCACAAAAAGATAAATACTGTATGATTCCATTCGTGTGAGGTATCTACACTAGTCAAATTCAAAGAAACAGAAACTGAAATGGTGGGTTACCAGGGATTGGGAGAGGAGAAAATAGGGAGTTGTTCCTTAGTGGGCATAGTTTCAGTTTTTCAAGATTTAATAAGTTCTGAAAAATATACGTAATATTACTGAAATGTACACTTAGAAACGGTTAAGACAGTAGATTTTGTTATATGTATTTTTTTTTACTGTAATTAAACATTTTTAAAAAGGAAATTAAATTTAAAATTCTTTGTCATTCTCACTAGCCACTTTTCAAGTGCTTCCATGACCAACTGCTGCTGGTTGCTCAAATGAATTCCACAGTGCAGCTCTGGGGCAAAAGTGACTTGTGAGTCACTTTCCGGAAATAGGTATTTGCCTAAACATTTGGTCGTAAAGAGATGAAAAGACAACCAGTAAGTCAAATATAGAAAGAGGAAGGCGTTAAAAAAAATAAAAAATGGGTGAGACAGTAGAGTTTCTGGATCATGTGATGACAAATCCCTCTCATTTAATCTGTTGGCCAAGGGTCAGCTCTCATCCTCCCCTCCTGGTGTATTATGTTGTGTTTTTATCCGCAGCAAGGTATTTTTCCTTTGGTAAGTACTTTTCCCTCTCCAATAAGTACTCAACCTTTGGGGGCCAAGGTGTTCACCCCAACTATTGCTTTTTATCTACAGCTAGGCACTCTGAAGCACCAATGCGCTAAGGATGAAAAACTACCCAGACATCAAAGGTAGTTTCACCTTTAGCTTGTAGGGCTGGAAGTCTGACTCAATCATGAATTAAACACTGATTCCTGAAAGCCTGGGGCTTGAAAGAAAACAGCCCGTAGGCAAAGCCATGGAGCTCTCACAAGCCTCAAATTATCCTCAAACAGCTACACAAAATCCTTTTAAGTGTCCATCAGCTTTATAAATCTGAACTGCTCTGGGAAGTTAAGATTTTAAAAAAATCGTTCAGTCTTTCATTAAACAGGTCACGGTATTACTATGGGAGAGAGGCAACAAGGTCTTCCGGTTGACTGGGGAGCCCTTCAAGACTACAGTACAATCACTGAAGACCACACAACAATGTCCGCTCCTTTCAACGGATACTAAATAGCACAGAGTTTGAGGAGGAAAGATGAATGGAGACATACGAGTTACCTCATTGCATTTATGGCATGAAATTAATTAGAGGTGAACATTAATGTCAGCTCAGCCACCTTGCCAGTAATGCCAAGTACAAATTATATTCTTCACTTGGAAAACAAGAGTCTGTAACACAGCCCAGTGGCCTTTCAAGGATTAGTTACTTAGCAAATCACTAGTGTCTTCAAAATACTTTTGTCACTATATTTTCAGATCTGACAGGGAGGGATGAGCTAGGCAGACAAAAATTCTTTATTTTGCTTTTCGGTGAAGCACACTGAGAGTTCAGCCAGCTTCTGGATATGGGGGCTTAATAACACGCAGAGGCAGGGGCCCAGGCCCTTTGACCTCCGTCAAAGGGTTTCTTACTTTCAGGAATGTCAAAGTGTCCTGGCATTGCACTGGTTTGCATGGAGGCACCCGTGTGCTACTTCGGCCACTCGCACAAACTTAGACAAAGAATGGTTTTCATCTTCAAGTTCACGTTTTTAGGGGGAACAAAACTCCCAAGTGGAGAGAAAGCGTGGGGACACCACTGCCCAGGGGTGGGCACCTCCCACTCCGACACCCACACCGCACCTCAGGGTGGTGTCCACTCTGCACAGACATGCCTGGCTGTTCCCAACGGCTACTCACCACTGTGCCATGAACAGTCCTCCTTCGCGCAGAGCCCTCTGGCGGTGTTACCAAGAATTTGGGTCGATCCGTCAGATTTCTAGAGTGTGCAGCTTTGTAGGGCATGATGTTGATGGGGCTGCAAGATGCTGAACGAGGACAAATGGGGATAACTAGGGTGCAGGTGATTGTTTTACACACAAGAGTGCCAGAGGAGCAGGTGAAGGAAAGCCAAAAGCAGGTTCAGGAAAAGGAGCAGAGCAGAGGTAGAAAGAAAAGTAGGGAGAAGATGTTATTACCTAAAGGTGTCCAGAGCCTTCATATTCAACTCTCCTGACAGTCCTATCAGTTTACAGTGTGTCCAAAGAGAAGCCATGTCCAAGTGAAAAATCTAGACTGTATAAGCTATTTGGCTATTTAGACACCGATTAAAGACGCAGATGTAATCTCATATAGAAAGCAATGGCCTTATCTTCCTATGAAATAGTGGTTCTGCTAAAATGCTACATTAGTGACAGATAACTTTTACATAAGGACTGTTTACAATTAGATTTTCCCAATTAGCTTTAAGATGGAACAAAAGGTGGAAAGACAGGAAACAAGCAAGCAGGCAAGCAAGAGACATTCCAGCTATTTCCAGGGTGAAGTTCAACAGCCGGTGGAAAGAATTTTTATAATGTTAAGTGACCAAGTCTTACCAGGAGTTAAGACTGGTCACAAAGATAACTAATAATTCCCAGAAACAAATTTTGTAAATGTGTTGTCTATTTAAAGGCAAATCAGATGCATAGCTGATGGGTTTTCCCAAAAGCCAAGGCATTTGATGGTGTATAACAAGCGATAGAATTTATGCAGAAGTGGGACGTAATCATTTAAAATGATGAATAGAACATAAACATGTTAGAATTGCCAAAAATAAAGTTGAGTCACGAATAGCTTTTACAGTTTTACTCAGGTTGATAAAAGTTTTGAAAATCACATAGTTTCTGACCATTCACATTCACAGGGACATGAACCACATGATTCTGAGGAACAATGGGTTTAAGGAAATTCATAGAACACTACATAGGTATCCAAAGTGTGGGTACGAAGGTTCCAAGGTTCATTTTCAGAACCTGAGAAATCCTGTTCTCCAGCAAAAGAGTAAGACAATTCAACCTGACTTCTGAGGAGAATACTAGGTGTTTGGATGATGTTATAAAATGACTTTACCCACTTAAAGCCATTGTAGCAAACCTTTAAAAAGACCATTAGTTCAGCTATGTATAATAGTATTTATTAATAAATTAAAAACTCAAAAGTTGGGAATTCTGGAATTATAGAGACAAGAAATACTTGTTACTTATCTACAGACAGAAAGTTGATCAGATGGCTTATCTATTCATGTGCTCTGTCATTAAATGATTTGTAGTATCTTCTGGTTATCACTGAATGGTCAAGGCTGGGAATAAACTAGACACTGCATTCTCTTCTCCAGTCCTCTGAAAACAGAACTCTATTTCTTCAGGATAAACTAAAACACTTTGCAACCCCCCCCCCCCCCACCGTTGTCCTTAAAAGAATATGTTTATCTTACCTGGGACTGACATAAAGCTTGGCTTCAGACCTTAATGATGAAGGAAGATGCCTTTATTTTGAGAAAGGAGAACCTTGTCTCATTTGGCTTGTTGTGATCACAGGGAAAACTGAACATAACCATTCGGTCAAGTCCCACAAAAAAGCATTTGCGTTTCCCAGACAATGAAGAGTTAATTAATGCAAAACTCTTCCAAGCCAATCAAACGCATTTAAAGAATAACATCCTGGCACAGAGCACCTCCGTGAGATTACGGACCAGGAGAGGCACATACTGCCCGGGGGGCACGGCCAGAGGTCATTTACCTCGCTCAAGGATCAAGAAACCCTAGACAACAGCCCTGTTGAGGCCAGGGGTCTGACAGGAAAAAAGCAGCACAGAAATATGATATCATTTTCCTCCAGTGGAAAATAACTTCGGGGGGCATTTCCTGAGATGATCATGGGTGCAAGCCAAGCTCATCATGCCTCTCTGTTCATTCTTTATTCTAGCAGTGAGGTAACACTGAGCAAAGGGAGAAAATACCCTCAAATCTATCTAGTGTAGCTTGTACAGAATTCCTCAAATTTAATTGTTCAAGGAACATCGCCTGGCTAAAATAAACACTGTAAATTCTAAGAATATTATGTTTCATGGAATTCGTTGTTCCGAACAGCAACCACTGAAAATCCTGAAACCTTTAAATCAATTAATTGTCTTAAAAAAAAAAAATGTATCTTGCCCTTCCGAAGAGTAAGGGCAATAATATATAGCTGTTATTTTTATTTTCCCAGAGTGCCCTCTGTATCCCAAAGTAGTCTTAATAAACACAAAAATTCTTGTCTGGAGTGTCTACCAGAAAGTCTTCCACAGTATCTCTACTTCCTCTTACTTTTGGTAGCAAGTGTGCATTAATCTTGTTTATTCAAGAGTTTCTAAATGAGCTGTATGAAAAGGTGCAGAGAAAAGATAATGCAGTACAAATGGTTAGAGTGCAGCAGAGAGAAGTGAAAAATTAGCAAATAGAAACATGATAACATTTATCGAGCACCACTATGTGTAGGTACTACTTTAAATGTTATATATGTATCAACTCATTTCATCCTGAGCTCTAATAATCACAGGTATTTTCCGTGTATTTTTTAAAAATGGGCATGGTGAAGTCAACCCAGACCTGTCGCCACAAATAAGAGGTAGGAGACTTCCAAATTTCAAGTGCTCTTATTGCCTGTTCTGGGAGTTTGCAATCCCCAAACATTCTAGGGGAAAGGGTGGCTGTCTTCATCTGCCACGTAACCCTGGCTCTGATGTAGGGCATCCTCTCGCCAATGGCAATGGGATATATGATGAACTCAAGGCACAACGGTAAAATGGAAAGAAAGAATAGTTGAGGAGAGCAGGTGGCAAAATGAAAGCGATGGATAAAGTGTTTTTGACAAGAGAAACACAAGCGATGTTTATATACATAATTTCAAATGGGAAAAAAATTTGAAGACAACAGTTTTGGGTCATTAAATATAGGCCGTATCAATTCAACTAACAGGTAACAATGATCTAAGGAATGTGTTAATAAGACCAGCAACTCAACTGAAGGTCTATGCATTGCTTCACACTAAAGTAAATTACAGAAATGTATCAAAATTTGTGGAAAAGGAGAATGGGAAAGTGGCAAAGAACAGCCAGTTAGCAGGTAAAAAGCACCCTGACTGAGTGTAACAATGAAGAAGGAAGGTGGGGGGGGGTGGTGGAAAATGAGGAAATGGCATTGGACAACACTGGAGGGGGAGCGAGAGAATTGACACAAGTTAGTGGTGACAGAAACTGCAAAGACAGACACTTTTTCAGCTGTGAGGCAGGCAGTTAGCATGAAGCTACATACAGTGTGGAGATTCCAAAGCATGAGAGCCCTAAACTATTTAGATCCTATGAAACAGGAATGAAAGCAATTTTAAAGGTTCCCCAATTAGCTGGACATACGGAAAAACTTTCATGCCTTGCGTAGAAGCATGACACTCATAGGCAGAAAATAAATGATCTTGAAATAAGCTGTACATTTTGCTCCAGAAAAAAATCTCGGATGTGATGTGACAGCTGACAGGAGAGTTCTTTCGCAGAAAACACAGAACACTGTGGTCCAGCTAATTGAACACACACTGCACACAGAGCATTACTCCAGGGCGCCGAGGACGGAGGTTGGATAAGCATGTTTAAGACCCAATCACCAATTAGAATTCTAAGTGGCTCTGGCAGAAGTCACTTATAATCTGTGCACTTGGTTTCCACACGCAGGTGGTAGGAATGTCTACTTGATTTTTGACCGCCTCCTGGCGGGTACTGTGAGAATTAGGGTTGCTATCAGCTCACTGGGGCGCCATGGATGGAAAAAAAAAAATCATAAAACCACCAAGAATTATTTGTAAAGAGGGTTAATGATCACGAAGAGACTTGCGGAGGCAAAATATTTTTAAGGGGAACTTTATGAAGAGGCTGTGTAATTTCCTAAGTGCCAAAGACAAGGGCTGGTAGACGGGTTATGGAGATCTACCAACTGTGCCCACAGATATTTGGGAAAAACCAAACCGGCTCACTATGAAAGAGATGTTGCCAAAAGCCAAATACGTATCTTTCTTTGCAACGAGATATCGGCTCTCTACTAACTTCTCATTAAACTAATTGGCTTATTCGGGCATGCTTTGCATTTCAAAAACGTAGAGGAGTTATAACTAATTACAATAACCAGTGTTTGGCACATTCTCCATATTTTCAAAGTATGCAACAAATGAGAACACTATAATTAGCCTTCCCCACAAGTCTTAGACATTTGAGAGGGTACTAATTCCTAGATTACATAGAAAGACTGGCACAGGGAGGGGAAGTCGCTCGCCCACAGCCACATCATGAAACTCTCGCTTAAACTGACTTGGGCTCTGATTTTATTCCTCAGTCAATATATTAGTATTAAATTATGTCTACTTCTGATCATGTGCTCAGATGCAGGGCCAGAAAGAACGGTGGGAAAGGGATAGGTCTTTCTGGTGATGTCACAAACACACGGAAGCATCTGAAGCCATCTCATCACAAGGAGGGACACCCTTGGTTTGCCTGGCATCTGGGGTCCAGGTAAGATGCTTAGGTGGATGCTAAGGAGGGAACAATACCAGGGCCGCGAAACCAACACCGGCAGACATTTTCAAAGCCACTGCACCCAAGGACAGAGAAGCAAACACACCAGGAAAGACGGAGACGTGATTATGATGAATGCTGGAGGCTCAGATGTGCTTCCGAAAGAGGACTTGACCTCACCAAGAAAGTTGCACCTCGAACAGTTTTACCTGGGTCTCCAGACAAGGCAGCCGCGCTTTTGCTTCTGGCCAGGAACGCATGTGTGGGCGTCAGCAGTCTGTTAACAACGCTGCTCTCCCATGGGCTGAGCTGCAGGCGGCGAGCTAAACGTCACCACATAAGCAAGATGTTAGAGGAATTCTTTCCAGGGGCAGGAGAGTGCACAAGAACATCATACTTATGGCTTCCACGTGCCAGGCCTTGGAGAGACGAGGCTCTCCAGGGAGGACAGTCGGCAGAGAGACCGGGAGACAGGAACTCTGCCCAAAGGAGGAGCTATTCCATAATGCTGCCTTTCTTCAAGATGTTAGTGTTATGGATGCAGAGTTTGCTAACCACCCTCCTTTAGGAACGAACAAGTAACAAAACAGAAATAGCGTGTCGACCACGGGTTTGGGATGTAGTCGTACCTATCGGCCCTCATCAGGATGGGCAGTGGGCTGAAGGCACACACGTCAGCCCAAGGGCTTCCTAAGTACCCTGAACAATCAACTCCACCAGAGGCTTTGGCAGCTAACGAAAGACTGCATTTCTGTACCAATAAAGACAGAAAGGGTCTCCATGGCATTCTGCCAGATGTCATGAACTGCGGCTTCGGCACTTGGGGGAAGTGAGAGATAATAAAATGAAAGAAGACCCAGGCAAAGTTCTGTGTGGGATTTCCTTTTGACTTTTCCATTCAGCAAGCCAGGTTCTTTCAGGTCCCTGTTTGGCAACAACATAAACATTTTGGCAGAGAATGAGGGTAAACCTGAAGCAAGATAAGATTAAACAGAAAAGCCAAAAGCCAATATAAACTCAATGGTGGAAATTACCAGTGGGTGTGGGAAGGCTCCAGAAAATAAATTTAGAAGAACGCAATGAAATATAGTCTCAAATTGTACTGGGGCTTGGTTGGCAAGACCATTGTCAGGATATACGTACTAATCATAAATTAACTATTTTGCTTATATTGTTAGCTTTGAGTGGTGGCCCATGAAAATATAGAAGCTACTTTCCAAAAATATCAGGAAAGAAGCTGGCAAAATCCTGCAAATATCACTAAAGTGATCATCTGTCTCTATTTTAGAATACACTCCAAGTCACTTACAAAAATCTTTAAAACTGTCTAAACCTGACAAGGCCACTTCTGTTTGGTACCATAAACAGCAGGTGTACATCCTGTTGTCTCTGGAGTGACTTTTTTTTTTTTAATAACCTTTTATATGTTGAATTTTCAAGAAATGGCATCTAAATTCTAGAAAATTAGTTTTAGTTGAACAGAAGTTATCTGATGTTAAATGTTGTTATAAAAAATATCTCCTCCTACTTGAAAGGAATTACCAACCTCCAAAAAGCATCTTAAGTTCCTGACTTTATTTTTAAAAAGAAGCTATTTTGATCAAGGCTATGGTGAATTTAAGAATTAGTGAATTGTTTATTAGATTTTGTTATTAGGAGAGTCTTCATAGTTAAATTGAATCTTATCTGATAAACACAAATAAAAGGATAATATAGATGTTATACGTTGTATACGTACAATTGCACATATAATATAGAAATAGCTACAAAGTAGAACACATAAGGGAATAAGTGCTGTTACATACTATACCACGGCAGTGTGCATGTGGGCATCAGTCACAGAATTTAAAGCAAACTAAAAGTGGAATACATTCACAGAATAAAACCACTGGGAAAGGTGATGAGGGTACATGAAAATCTTCAAAAGAACTATATTTTCAAGTAGATGAGAAAGGAAAGAGAGGAATGCTTCCTTTCCCTGATAAACTCTGTAGGAGGGCTGGCTTAGAATTGCAGAGATGGTTTATCATTGAAAAGACAAGCTCTTTTCTTTCCCCCTGGATTAAGAAGTTCATTAACTTTATTTCTGTGAGACTTTAAAGCATCAACCAAAGAATTTGCCTCAAAGGAAGATTAAAAACCTTCTCTGACTTGTGTTTAAAGCAAATCTGAAGAAATTTGTTTTATAGCTCTGACACCGTGAAAGAAAGCTTTTGCCAGAAGAAACATGTTTCCCCTTCCTCTGCATTCATTACTATGCCCTGAACAAGATAGAGACAGATGTCTTCCATAAGACGACTTTTTAATAAAGGTTAGGACAGGAGTTAGTTTATTGTTTATGGTTTTTTCTTTTTTTTTCACCTAGCAGGGCCTGATTTTCAGATGAAGGAAGAGATATTAATTCTTGTGAAAAAACTCTATAGTATTGATCCTACTTAAGCACTTAAAAAGGAGATATTGACAATTCCTATAATAGACCACGTGGACCAGGGGAGGCACATGAACATTAGAGGTATTTGCACTGCCACCTTCTTCCATAAGCAGGAAATCATTGTTCAGTTTCAGACGAGCGTCATGCAAAAATCAGGCAAGTGTCGCCACATCCTGATATTTCATTAGAAGTAGGAAACCTCAATGTTACTTGATATATTCCATTTTTAGGATGATGGCAATGGATTCAACTTAAAGAACAAAACACCCTACTCCAGTCAAACAGAAGATGCCTGTGGGCAGAATTCAGCATCAGATCTACCACCATGCCCTGTGATCTAGATTCTAAGGAAAAATGTATGGACTAATTCTAATCACACAGTAGGCAACTTCATTTCTTGCTTTTTTGAAACTCCCTATTCTTTCTTGAGGGGGAAAAAAAAAACTGGGTAAGTAGGTAGCTTAAGAATATGAAGAAACACATTTTTAAGCAAAAATCTCCAGTGGCAAAAATCCCTCTATTGCAGCAATTAAAAAAGATCTTTGGTAATTAGAGGTTTCCCTTAACTCAGGTCATTTTATCAGTCTATATGACACTATATTCAAGTGTGATAATAAAAATATTTAAAAACAGGTAAGGCACAGGCACAGAGCTAATGGATGCCATGCATTAGCTCTGGAGGACCTGGGGAAGCACCGCTTGAGGAAGTGGATATTTACACCAAATGGTATGGAAATATTTCAGTATTTTTAATAACCAGTGGAGCATTCCAGCTGAACCCTGATATCACCAGAACCTCAATTTAATATCAGCCTTAAGCCCTGTGCTATAGGGTTGAGAAAGCTCAGACAATCTAGTAATGGTATATTCCCTTTACCGGATTTGTCTGTAAAAGTTTCTAATTTAATAATTTGATAAGAATGCTTCCTAACTTGATAATAAAGCATAACACCAACTTTTAAAAATAGCAGAAAAGCAAATTAACGAAATTACTTAAATTTTAAATTCGAGAAGTTCAAATTCAGAAGAATTTCTATTCTCATTAAAAGGCCTAGGCTCCTCACTGCCCTGAGGATTTGTCTAACTTAAAAAAAAGGAAAAAAAATTGTTTCGTGGACCATATGGAAGTTCCTGGATGAACTGAATCCTCCTTCCTGGCCAACCTTGACCTTGCCTATTAGACCCAGGAACTGTTTCACAATTCTTCTGACAAGGGGCCAGAGAAGCAGAATCCCCAAATTTAGTGCTTTCCCTCTGATTCTGTTAAGTTCAGCTTAGGATTCAATTTGATGGGCCCCGTGCATGATTCAAGGGGCAGTTTCTTGGCCCTCGCTATGAACTGGCTATTGAACTTTCCCTGATCCTTAACCTCACCTAAAAAAGCACACATACAGTCAGAGTCGATCTAAGGAAGGGCACCACCCATGGGGGTAAGAACAGAGGATGCAGGGGAGCCTGGGTGGCTCAGTTGGTTAAGGGTCTGACTTTGGCTCAGGTCATGATCTCACGGTTTGTGAGTTCAAGCCCCGCGTGGGGCTCTGTGCTGATGGCTCAGAGCCTGGAGCCTGCTTTGGGTTCTGTGTCTCCCCATCTCTCTGCCCATCCCCCACGCACTCCGCTCCCCAAAAATAAATAAAATTAGTAACCATTAAAAAAAAAAAAAGAATATCCAATCAGGGGCACCTGGGTGGCTCAGTTGGTTAAGCGTCCGACTTTGGCTCAGGTCATGATCTCACAGGTTGTGAGCTCAAGCCCTGCCATCAGGCTCTCTGCTGTCAGCATAGAGCTTGCTTCGGATCCTCTGTTCCCCTTTCTCTCTGCCCCTCCCCCGCATGTGTGCTTGCTCTCTCTCTCTCAAAAATAAACAAATATTAAAAAAAAATTTAAAAAAGCATATCCAATTAGATACTATCACACAGAATCTATAAAACATCTTGCTAGTTGAAAGATCATTGTCATCCCACAGAAGTGTAGTAGGATGTACTGTTTGGTTTATTGCACATCTACCCCAATTTCAGCTGTGAAACTGTAGGAGGCAGTAAGCAAGGTTTGACATCAAAGCACTGTAAAATCCCAATTGCAGTTTGTCTTAGACATGGGTTGACACATTAAAGTGCTGAGTAAGTGACCAAATCCAAAGAAAAGATGAGTAGACAATTGTAAGAATAGCATTCACATGCTATATTTTATACTAAGGGGATGGGTTTGAAAATAAGGCCTATTTATGAAAGGAGTTTTAGTTCATAATACTTTTCTCTAACATCTAAAAGGCCCCTAATTTGACTACATGTCTAATATCAATGATTTAGTTAATCATCATTTACTAGTTATCATTTAGTTAATAGTTGAGCAAATTAGTTAAAAAAAAAAAAGGAATGGTGCAGGTTAAAAGGCAAGAATAGGAAGTTATTCAAACATTTACTGCTTTAAGAGAGTAGTTATTAGTTATAAGATAACAACAGGTATAATATTGTACATTACAATGACACAACTTTTATACAATACAAAATATATGAATACTCATACACACAGAACATGCACACATTGCATTCTTTTTAAAGACTGAACGTTTCCCAGTTTCTTAATAAAACATTCAAAAATAACCACGATTTTGTTACTTTTAAAGAGTATATGTTTTCATATTGCACAACAATTCTTTGGTTTTCTAATTTAAAATCTTAGTTCTGTAAAACCGAAGCTTATCTTAAAAACTTGATTTTTTCCTTCTATGACATATAAATATGCAAAATAAAACTTTAATTTCATAAATAACTCAAAATTCATGTACTGTAAATCCATGGGATGAATAAAACTCAAAATTCAAATAAAACATTAATTGGAGGGATACGATTATTAAAAGTTTTAGGAAACTTCAATGAGGATATATTCTTGAAGTCAGGCCAAATCCCTTAAGAGCAAAATGAATGGACACCAAAAACCAATCACACACACACAAGAAATGCAGTAAGGTTTTGTTAAATGAGAACTCAAACAGTAAAATGAAATCTACCAACATGAATCATTTAAGAAGATTTTTTAGAAAGTCAAAGCTTGGAATTCCCAAAGTACAGATGAAAAGTCAAAGACAATATGATTGAAGTAAAGTAAGTGTTCGTAACAAAGATTATTTGCATGTTGGTGGATAAGTGGGTGATTTCTGGAGCTGTAAACTCATTTACTAAAAAGTTGAGAAGCACCGCTTTCATCACTGCTAAATGCAACCATTCAGCCAAGTTCTAACATGAGCAAGGTTCTTGTCGCAAGGGAAATGCTGCTCAGCCGCTTACTGCTTTTTTATTCTGAAGTTTTGTTCTTCCTATTTAAGAAACGTAGGGAAAGCAACTTCAGATGCTGATTTTTAGCTGTAAACATCCAGAAAAAAAAAAGAAGCATTAAGTAAATAACAGAACACTTTTTTTTTGTTTTGTTTTCCTTTTGACTGTACCTCTATCTGGAGAATTTAGTAAAGTTGCAGATGAAGAGGAGAGCCGCTTGCTAATGACGGGATCGACATGTTTCGAAAGATTCATGGTGGAAACTGACCGCCTGTCTGGATCTAAAACAAATGGAGATAATGCTAATTGACAGCCAGCATGCAGGATTGCAATTTCCTAGTTCACTGATGGAAGGAAAAACTAGGATTGGATGCTTTCAGCTCTATCACTAGATCTTACATAACAGCACAGTTTTCTAAGTGGATGTCTTAAAGGTAACTTAAAGGCCAGAAATAAAATTATTTTTCTCATAGGATAAAATAAACGTTTAGCACACCAGTTTGTCAGCCAGGAAAATTCAGGCATATTGCTAGAGTACAACAGACAGATGAGGATCAAAGGCAGGCCAGTGGAGGGGAACTAAACTAATGGAGGCAGACTGGAAAACAAAGAGAGGATTGTAAAAGTGGATGCCCTCATAATTTTCCAAAGTAGGAACAAGGGGGTAGTAAGAGGGCTGGTAAAACAGAATGTAAATACTAGGAAAAAAAGAGGAATACCAGGTTCTATGCATTTGCTGATACCTCTGCTTGTAGAGTTACTTTACCTAGGGTGTTAATGTTCATTACAGAAAAACAGATTAAAAAGAAAGTCAGTCAGTTAAGCACCTGACTCTTGATTGCGGCTCAGGTCATGATCTCATGGTTCATGCGATCGAGCCCCACATCGGGCTCTGTGCTGACACTGTGGAGCCTGCTTGGGATTCTCTCTCTCCCTCTCTCTCTGCCCTTCCCCCACTCTCTCTCTCTCTCTCTGACAAAATAAATAAACTTTAAAAAGAAAAAGAAATACTCTGGGTATGGAAAGGATGGCTGCTATAGCATTTCTTTTTAAAAAGTCTATGAATAACCACACCTCTATGCCCGTTACACAGAGTCTAGTGCAGTTTACAAATGTAGAATCAGTCCACAAACTTGCCCAAAAAAACTGACAGCAATATATAAAGAAAATTAGCATTCTTTCTCTTTAACTTTATTAGTGATACTGTTCATCCTTCAGGTCAGTAATTTTAGAGTAATTCTTAAAGGTCAAGTCAGAAGAGAATAATAGCCATATAAAATAGGCTGTTAGTTTGTTGTCTGTTGGAAAACAGTTTGTTGTCTGTTGTTTGTTGTCTGTGGAACCAAATTATAACCATGCTCATTAGAATAAATCACATTCCCTGAATAAAAGTGCACAGAACAAAAGTCTAAAATGTCATTGTATTTATTTAGGAGGGCAAGTAGGTGTTCTGACCTGTGACAGCCAAAGGTAAAAAAGGTGTTACCATATTTTGTTTTATTTTTCTATTGTTAGCTTCTTCTAAAACTAAAAACAAAAATATTCTTTAGGTAGACGCCTTTAACACCCAGTTCTCACGGGTCTAACACTGGTAGTCAGAACTTTACAGTAAACTTCTCTCCACAGAATAATCATTTTGGCCATTGTTTATAATGTATGGATAAACAAGGCTTCCCCCAACATCAGACATTCCTATCTCTACCGGGACACATTGGTATGGTTGAAGCAACTTCATTATAAAACAAACAAACCCAAACATTGTTTCTGTGACGTAAATTTACACTTAACTGATAGGCTCTTAGGGCAGTCCTGAAGATTTAGGATAAAATATCAAAAGGAACATCTAAATGATAAAATGTAAGATCCAGGGGTATAAGGAACGATCAAAGTCATTTCTAGGTGGATCAAGCAATTCATTTTCTGATATTGTTTTATGTGTTAAGCTTTAGTTGAGGGACAGTGTGCCTAATTGGAGGCCTGCATGGTTAAAATTATGGAGGTGTCACATGTATTGATTGTATTACTTAATCTAATGAGAATTATATTACTTAATACAATAAAAATTTCTAATCGTTTCTTTTTCTCCCTGAACAAAATACAAATTTATGAAAGGATTTATTAAGAGTCAGTTTTGGGGTGCTGGGTGGCTTAGTCGGTTCATCATCTGACTCGATTTCGGCTCAGGTCAGGATCTCATGGTTTGTGAGTTTGAGCCCCACGCTGGGCTCTGTGCTGATGGCATGGAGCCTGCTTGGGATGCCCTCTCTTCTTTCTCTCTCTGCCCCTCTCCACTTGTGCTGTCTCTGTCTCTCTTAAAATAAATAAATAAATAAATACTTAACAACAAAAAAAGAATCAGTTAAAAAAAATTTACAAACCAGCGCTAGTCGATGTGTGAGCAGTAAGCCAACACACTGATTTAATATGGATTAAAATTAATTTCTAGGATCTGGTTTTTGATCAGCAAACACTGACTGAGTGCCCATCCTGAGTGAGGCATTGTTGTATATGAGTAAGAGCAGGTCACTGCTCTTAACATCACAGCAGATCATTCTGACCTTTGAGAGTTTGGGCAAATTCCAGTTATTTTCAAACTTCTCTGTTTAGCACAGCAGCAATTTTCTCTGATTCACAGCCCTTATAAAAATGGATTTTATGCAAGAGCTAACAAATACAACATTTGTTTCTCTTGCTCTGGGTGGCAGAAATGAAGGTCATATATTAAACTCTGAGTGTGGAAGCAAGAATTAAAGGCAAGTGACTGGATGTCCCCTTAAAAATATTTGAAAATCTGTAACAGAGTGTACTTCTGCTGGACACAAGTAAAACATGAAGCCAAGTAAAGGAAAAATAAGGTCATAAAAATATATACTATGACAGCTTTTCTGTATGGAACGTTTACGTAAAACTGCCCTTAGGATAAAATATCACACATGAATGATCCTTATGGTTACAGATTTGACACATGCCCACCCTGTACCACTGGGTCATTAAGAGCCAAGGAAAAGAAAGTGCTTTTAAGTATGGTTTAACGCCACAGGAAAGCCATGATAATTTGCTTTCAGAATTTTTAAAACAAAGAGGTTCTAGAAGATACACTGAATGTTAGCAATAAAAGAAGAGAGTAAGCAAAAATCCATTGTTATTTAGGTTAAAGCTAATAGTGGAAACAGCAGTACTGACAGGGGTGTGGGGTGGGGGGCACACCAACTGGATGTACTTCGATTCCAGGTAATCCATTAACTAAAAAACACTTTTTAAAGATTTTATCCAAAACGGTCACTTAAAGAGAAAGTAAACACATCACATGTAATGACATTATTTCAACACCTTCAAGTCACCTGAGTTCTACCATCATCACACTTAAGAAACACTGTGCCATGCCCAGATCTAGGTCTATGCAATGGGGTATTAGGCATGCATTATGACTAAGGTGGTGACGGCTCAGCTAGCGATGAACTGGCCCTGGGTCAGAGGTGCTAGCTACAGGTCAGGCAACCGGCAACCACGGGGATGTCTGTACCAGATTTTCTAGTACCACCAAGAGTTGTGAAGTGGTGGTCCAGGCCTGCTAAATCGAGAAAGGTGAATGATGATGCAACAAAACCACCTGGGGACAGAATGTAAGACAATGATTTTTCAAAGTAAAAAAAAAAAAAAAAAAAAGTTATTAGACTCACACAGATGGAAAAAAACTGACGCACTATATAAAATTCAAGGTTCATTGAATTTACAGTACAAAAATAAAGCCTTTCACTACTTCCAAATTTCAGTATGATTTTATGTCTATTCAAGAACAAGGGAATAATAGCTGAGGCATTCACTGGTTCTGGTTTCAGAACCTGCACTTTCTCCCGCGGAGCATTAAAACTGCACACACTCTAAGGTCTGAATACACAAGTTCATAGTATCGATTTTGATCAGTCAATACTGCTAGGATTCTTCCAGAGAGGAAGACAAAACTGGCGAATTTATTCCATAAACCTGACAACTTAATGTAAAGGATTACTTAAAATAATGCAGAGTGGAAACTGCACGTTTACTTAGAAACATTGCATAGATTTCTATCTCTTCAAGGAACTATGTAACCAAAGAGAAAAGCAGCCTGTGTTATGGGAGAGAGAGAATCTTATCTTACCCCCATCACCCTCTTATCCTCAAACAGCTAGGATCATCATTTCATTATAGTTGAATTATTTCAGCAGGATTTTTGTTTTGGAAACACAGACTTAGAGAAAAAGAAGCAACTGTCCTTTTACAGTCCAGGAAGAAAGGAGTGATTTTGAAGGCGATCGCTGTTTACCTGCACTGTGGATGCTGGGGCTCCCATGGAGAGAGCCTCCCCATGACCAGCGGTTATGCTTCTGCCTTGGCTTCTGGCTCCTTTCCATTGTACGCCGTACAACAGCTTCATGGCGTTCCTCAAATGAAGCAGAGGAGTGGAAGATTAGATTCAACCTGGTTGCTTGAGGCTTCTTCAACTTAAGGCAGAATGGAGGAAGGCACCACTGAAATCTTTACCTTAGTACTCCTACTTCCTTAGGGTGGGAGGAGTATCAACTTGGGATGGTTACTGAAATCATCAGGTCCCAGGTGATAAAGCGTCTCAATACTTTCATATGGGTGAACTGAACATAAATAAGTTATAGCTTGAAGACCAGACACCTGGGCTTTTAAAGTTTCTAGGTTAGTAACTGCAACAATCACGCCATTTGGGACCTGCCTTCTATACCCCAACCTCCCTAGAAGCTGTGACTATCTATAAAACTGATTCCTTAATTCTGCTATGCACCCCAGCACCTTAATGGAAGGTTTCATAGTAAATGTGTTGCATTTCTGAAACAGACAAATCTCCTGTGTACTTCCCGGGGCGCCGTCTTACTTTGTCTTCCTCCAGTCTCTGCCTCCGCTTTTCCTCCACAGCAGCCCTCCTCCGCTCCTCCTTCAGCCTCTGCTCTTCCAGCTTCTTCTTCCGCTCTTCCAGGTGCTTTTCATAGTGCTGCCGGGCTCGCTCTTCCCTTTCTAACCAGATGATTTCTCTCGCAGCTTTAGAAGAAAAACAAGGGAAATATAGGCTGGTTTAAAACTTAAACAGGCAGGACTGTATAAACAGCCCACAGGAACAGGTAAGAGTTCTTTGGTTTTGTCTTTACCAAGCCTGGCCTTTGCTTTCCTCACATTTTCAGGAAAAAGTAACACTGTTAATTTATAGCATAATTTAGTATGCTGACAATGAGGTCCACTGAATTCTACTTTTTGGGAATCCCCTACAGTCCTGTAGTTTGGTATATTATTACAACAGAGTAATGCATACATCACATGCTCTGGTCTCCATTCTGACTATTGACAAAACCAATGGCACCATCCATCTCTCTCTCTCTCTCTAAAAAAATGGGATCATCCTCCAGATCAAAAGCCTGTGACTACATTTGTTTCAACAAAGCACTGGTTCTCTGAAAACATTAAAAGAATTTGGGACAAAATCCCCAGAATTGATGGTTGATAAAAGATACATTAAATGCCTCATGGATTTATCACACTGAGTCACCTAAGTGACGTGAGGGACTAAGTAAGCAGATCTGGTGTCTGAGATGCTCACGCTCTGGGTAGATAAGACTTACTATCACAGCCTGAATGAAAATAAACAATTCAAAAAATATTGTTCAGTGATGGAATGCTTCTTTTCTCCTTTACATATCCATGTTCCTTCCTTCCTCATTTTAGGGGAACACATAGCCAACAAAACTTTTTTTTAATTTTTATTTTTTAGTATGATGCTTCCTTGAGCTGTGATAAACCTATCTTTAATATGATCTATTAACATAGTAGGTAAAAGAGTCCAAACAAAATTTAGAGCATAAACCCTGAGGATACTGAATGGCATATAAGTTAAAATGTTATTTAAAAAAAAATTTTTTAACGTTTATTTATTTTTGAGACAGAGAGAGAGATGAACAGGGGAGGGTCAGAGAAAGAGGGAGACACAGAATCTGAAACAGGCTCCAGGCTCTGAGCTGTCAGCACAGAGCCCGACACGGGGCTCAAACCCACGGACTGTGAGATCATGACCTGAGCCGAAGTCGGACGCTTTAACTGACTGAGCCACCCAGGCACCCCAAAATGTTATTTTTTTAATAGAAAAAAAATGCAGAACATTTCAGTTTCCTCTAAATATTTAAGGTTAACAATTCTGTATTTCTGCTACCATTATACCTTTTCTAAAGCTGTTCACTTGAGGAGACAAATCCACTGAAGGAAATCTGAATGGACTTTACTTGTGTGAAAGAACAAGGATGATGCAAGATGAGTTTGTCCTGTGACATTACTCAGAGAGAACTGGGTTCTCCCAGCAGCACTGCCACTAATGGGTGGGGAGATCTCAAGACACGTTCATTTGAATTTCAGTTTTCTCTTGCCTAAAAGACACGGAAATTGATCTTCAAGAGTCCTTCCAATTTTAAAAGCCAATGGTTCTAAAGAAAGTCTCAGGCCCATGTTGAAACTTGGAGTAAAAGCACATAGTATGTGCTCAATAAATATTTGCTAAATGAGTGAATAAATATAAACACCATGAGAATACACATTGAAAGTAACAGATGGGGAACATAATTCTAACATTTTTTAAAGGTGAATTTACTGTGATCACATACCCTCATGCACACATCTTTTGGATTTCCTGAATACCTTACTAGCCGACTTTCAATGATACCACACATTTTAGTTCATTTTAAAAAGGTGGATTTCCAGTGACAGATTTTTGTCAAAGCTTAAACAGTTCAAAATATTAAAAGGCAAAATGAAGGTCTTCCTCTAACCTTAAACCCTCTTATGTTCCACTTCCACCTTTTCTGCAAATGTAAAAGAAAGTAAAAATCCATGTATTACTGTAGTATGGCACTTCTGCTCTGCATCTTGCTCTTTTCGCTGAAAATAGATCTTAAAGATCTCTGCACACCAACACGTGAAACATGAAACTAACAACCTTTTAAATGGCGGTATAATATTTCACTGTCTACATACCACATTTTATTTTTTTATATATTTTTTAAGGAGTATTTATCTTGAGAGAGACAGAGACAATGTGAGTGGGGAAGGGTAGAAAGAGGGGGAGAGAGGATCCCAAGCAGGGTCAGTGCTGCAAGCACAGAGACCGACCCAGGGCTCAAACTCATGAAACTGTGAGATCATGACCTGAGCCAAAGCCAAGAGTTGGATGCTTAACTGGCTGAGCCACCCAGGTGCCCCAACATACCTTATTTTATATAACCAAATACTTATTGATAGATTTTCTTAGTTGTTTCCAGTATTTTACCAATTCAGACCTTGAGTGACGTTGTGTTATCATAACCTCTGTAGAGATGTGAGCATATCTACGTAGAAGTAGAATTGCTGAATCCAAGGGAATATACACTTAAATTAAAAAAAAATTTTTTTTAATGTTTATTTATTTTTGAAAGAGAAAGAGATAGAATGCGAGTGGGTTGGGGCAGAGAGAGAGAGAGAGGCACAGAATCTGAAGCAGGCTCCAGGCTCCAAGCTGTCAGCACAGAGTCCAACGCGGGGCTCGAACTCACGAGCTGTGAGATCATGACCTGAGCTGAAGTTAGATGCTCAACCGACTGAGCCACCCAGGTGCCCCTACACTTAAAATTTTGATAGATACTCTCACACTGTCCTCTGTGGAAGTCACACCAATTTATACTCCCACAGGCAATGGGTAAGGGTCTCAGGCAGAAAAAAGAAATAGCTTTATACCCTGAAGCCTGGATACAGGCAGTAAGACCCATCTATTTCTTAACTCTTGGCTTTCAAACTACATAGTCTTTGACTTTTATACTCCATGTTGAGGAAAACTTCAGATTCTTTGAGGATATTTATGAATGTCATCTTGTCTTTTCCTATAAGATATCCCAGAAGCCAAAAGACAAAATAAGAAATAATGCTTATGAAATATTAAGAAAATATTTTTTAAAACCAGTAAGATATATTTGTAAAATAAGAATTTATCAATTCACAGGTAATTTTCCTTAAGTCATGTTTTTCATCAGGCTATTTTCTCGCTCATGAGTATTTGTGGTTATTTTCTCACTTAACTGAAACTCCTCTGATTTCTAAAGTCCTACCTAACCTTGGCCTTAATATCCTTATGTGGCCTTATTCTGCATTGCTTTCCAGAAGAGCATCTTACTTCTAATTAGTCCTGTTTCCTTATTGCACCTCCCAAATAACCCATGCTTCTTGCATCTCTGTGCTTCCATCTCTTTCCCTGTTGAGAAAGCTGCCATCATTGTTAATTCCAACAGATCCATCCTTTAAGGCAGGGGTCTTACGATGTATTTCAGGATCACCTCTGGAAGGGGGTACGTGTGTATGTGTGTGTTGGGGGGATAGTAGTTAAAATGCAAATTCCTGGGCTCCAACCCTCATATTCATATTTATTAATTCTAGGATGGGGCCCAGAAAACTGCCTCCCAAGAGATTCTAGGTGGTCCCAAGTGGTCTCCTGATGGCATTTGGAGGAACACCGCCCTCAAGGTCTACTGCAGGAGCTTCAGCTCTTCTGGGGGGGTGGGGGGTTGTCAATGCTGCTCTTAGGACATCTACCACAAACTTCGGTATTTCTTCTATTCTGATTTCTCGGTAGCAAAGGTTTTCTTTGCTTCCCCCCCCTTCCCCTCATTCACCATAGTGCTTTTCACAACTTGAACATATCTAAAAGTCTTAATAATTATTTCCTGATTCATTCACCCATAACTGTGTGGTCTTGGGCAAGTTACTTAATCTCCCAATGCCTCACTTTTGTCAGAGTAAACTGTGGCTGAATATAGGACCTTCCCCATGGGTTTCCTGTAAGGAGTAAAAGAAGAACTACACTTAACATGGTTTTAGGGTATGTTATTATTAAACATTCAACCCATATTAGCTATTATTGCCAAATTTGTCGTCATCATCATCATCATCATCATCATCATTATGATTTCAATTCAGAAAATCAAAGCTAGTGCTTAAGGTTGTGCTATAAATCACTAGAGGGCTAGAGGTTACAAAAAATAATTAATTTTACCTCAAATAATCTTTTTAAGGAATAATATTTCCTTATCCATTGAGCTCTAATTGAGTTCTACTTCTATTTTCTAGCAGGAAGTGGAGATCCTATTACCTTGTCTTTAAACAGTTACAAAGAGAACGGGGCAAACGATGGTGAAAGAGCAAACAACACTTTTGTATTATTGTAGACTCTGTTGGTGAGCGTTAGCAATATTACCAAGTACAGATCATGTATCTTTTATTTTTTAAAAATTTTTTTTTATGTTTATTTTTAATTTTGAGACAGAGCATGAATGGGGGAGGGGCAGAGAGAGAGGGAGACACAGAATCGGAAGCAGGCTCCAGGCTCCGAGCCATCAGCCCAGAGCCCGACGCGGGGCTCGAACTCACGGACCGCGAGATCGTGACCCGGGCTGAAGTCGGACGCTCAACCGACTGAGCCACCCAGGTGCCCCAATCATGTATCTTTTAAACTGAAGGACAGCACATAAAATATTTCAATTATTTAATGAGAAGTAGAAGTTAATTTATTCTACGAAAGCTAATTTAATTTACTTATTTAAAACACTGTGTAAATGATAAGTAATGTCAAAGTCTTGTATTTTCTCCTTCAGAAATGAGAGATTTGAACACAAGAAAACAATCAACAACTGCTATGGACTGAACTTGCCCTCCTCCGCCCCACCCCCACCCCATCCCTAAATTCACATGTTGAAGCCTTAATGCTCAATGTGACTATATTTGGAGACAGGGCCTATAGAAGGTAATCCTGTTTAAATGAGGTCATAAGGGGAGCGCCTGGGTGGCTCAGTCGGTTAAGCTTCTGACTCTTGATTGAGGCTCAGGTCACGATCTCATGGTTGGTGAGATTGAGCTCCGTGTCAGGCTCCGCGTTGACATCTCAGAGTCTGCTTGGGATTCTTTCTCTCCCTTTCCCTCTGCCCCTGTCCCCCGTGTACATGCTCTCTCCCTCAAAATAAATAACAAATAGATTTTTTTTTAAACAATAAATAAATAAATGAGGTCATAAGGGTGAGGCCCTGACCCAATAGGCTTAGTGATTCTTATAAAAAGAAACACCAGAGAGCTCGCTCTCCCTCTCTCTTCATGCTCAGAGGAAAGACCGCATGAGAAGAAAGCAGACATCTGCAAGCCAGAAGAGGGGTCTCACCAGAAAGTGAACCCTGCCAGAACCTTAATCTTGGACTTTCCAGTGTCCCAAATGGCAAGAAAATAAATATCTGCTGTTTAAGCCCCCCAGTCTATGGTATTTCGTCATGGCAGCCAGAGCAGATGAGTACAACAATTTCTTCACATTTAAGTCATTAACAATCACTCATTTCATAGAGGCAGCTCTGTAAAAGAACAGCATGTACAAAAAAGGAATCATAGTATTATTAACCTTTATTCTCGTAAAGTTCTAATTTTTCCCTGGACTCTGGGTATCAGAACATAAAATGAAAACCCACTGAAGCCCCTGAAACACTGGCCATTAATAAATCAGTTCCACCCCTGAGCTGCTGCTACCGGAATCATACTTTAATGACACTAACAATATATCAGTGCCATGCAAAGGGGACACTATTAACAGTATGACAGCGACACATAAAGGAGAAACCCACCATCATTTTGGACTCCATTTAGAAACACACAGTGACTCTTGTACTAAAAGGAGTTCAAAAATGATAGGCAAAGTCCTGTAGCGGATGAAGCACAGGCTCAGGGCTCACAGGACTGGGAGTCCACCCCCAGGCCTGCCATTTACCATTCATCTGCCACTGAGCAAGTGGTGACTTCTGTGGTCTCATTTCCTCAAGCTGCCATGGTGCCATTTTCCTGACAGGGTCTCGGTGGGCTCAGGGTGACATGCGGAGTGCTCAGCCCAGGGCCAACACACAGCAGGAGCTCAATACATACAGATAATTATCGTGAGCGAATCTTTATGACAAGCAGACCGATTCCTGCCCTGCTGCCCCAGAGGGAATGCAGCTGATGGGAAGAACACAGGTAGGACCAACTACTCAGACAGCACACTCGTGGGCTGGATGGACTCCCTGCTCCAGTCACTCAACAATCTAGTGCCCAGCCTGGTCCTTTTTTTTTTTTTTTTTAATGTTTATTTACTTTTGAGAGAAAGGGAGAGACAGAGTACAAGCAGGGGAGAGGCAGGGAGAGAGGGAGACAGAATCCAAAGCAGGCTCCAGGCTCCGAGCTGTCAGCACAGAGCCTGATGCGGGGCTCGAACTCATGAGCCCTGAGATCATGACCTGAGCCGAAGTCGGACGCTCAACCGACTGAGCCACCTAGGCACCCTGCAGCCTGGTCCTGAATGGGCTTACATCTGTGTGAGTAAGTACAGGTGTCACTACCATACGCCAAAAAGAAAAACGTGACATTCAGAGAGTAGAGCCATGTTATCACATCATCTCTGAAACCTACAGAACTGCTGTGTTGGTTTCATATTAAGCTATGGAAGGATATGACTCGGTGCCTGCTAACACCGGGTACCAGCATAGCCAGGAATATCATAAAGAATCAGAAGATGACTAGTGCTAATATCTGAGTTCAGGCTTTGATTCTGCTACTAATTTTGTGTGACTTTGGGAAAATTAGCCAACCTACCTGACTTCTAAATTAGAGGGTATGTACAAAATGATCTCCAAGATCTTTTCCAATTAACTCCCAGGACTCAATTTTTGTTTTTCTCTTTGAGGAGCTGTGTGTAATTACAATTAGGTCTCCCGCCCCTGAGGGGCCTTCCTCCCTGCACACCGTAGAAAACTAAATGGGACTGAGGGGCTGGGGGAGCAGTTTATACCTGTGAAGACCCAAGAGCCCTCCTTATACATGGGCTGAAGGACTTTTGATAGAAGAATGCAATACTATCCATGACTTTCTATCTTCAGGGCCAGGCTTCAAGGCGTATTCAGCCTCTGCTAAAGTAAGTGGGGGTTGTGCTAAAGCACACAGATCAACTGATGTCCTTGGAATCTTTTAGTTAGTTACCACCTTACCCCAAATCCTCTTTACTCCTTAAAAAATGTTGCCATCCTCCTCACCTGGCAGGTCTACTGAGCCCTACCCTGCTGGACCAGGAGACACAAACAACCCTCTCTCTCTGTCTCCCCCAGCCGGGAAACATGAGGCTTCTCCAATCCCAGGCATCTAAATCAGTATCTGTGGAATCACATGGTCTGCCATCCTCATTTTTTCACCTCAGTGAGATGTCTTCAGCTCACTTTGTGCTGACACCAAGTGATTCACAGGCATTATCTTCACAGCCACTCAGTGAGGTAGACACTGCTATTAACCTTATTATAAGAACTCTGAGACACAGAGAAGTGACGTCACATGCCTGATGTCTCACAATAAGTCAGAGGTGGAACTGGAATTCAATCTCTGGACTGTCTGACTCTACAAGCAAACAATGAACCATTATGTGGAAGGGCGTGATGTGCAACACCTCCCAGGGACTAGACTCCTGCTCTGTATTGGGGACAAGTTGGTCATCCGATGTGAAGAGTCTGATCTTCTCATATCACTCTTAGTCTTTATCATCATCTATTTACAAGGCCCCTCACTTTTCAGATTTTAAGATCTTTTAATCTTCAGCCTCAAAGGCAAAGTCAGTTCTGGAGAAACAAATAATGGCTGCTTAGTCACAATGATTCATTTGTTTTATGTTAGAGCTTCAGCCTCTGCGTTACCAAATCCATCCTGCAACAAGCATTTATTCTTGCCAGTCCTGAGCTTGACTCATGATATAGCTGCTGTGGTATGTGCTCACATCCATATCCCCCCCACTAACGTGTATCCAGATCCCTTAGCTGTTCATAGCCTGCCAGACAGCCTTACGGGCTTTTGTACACTACATTCATTAAGTGACCACTTCAGAGACTAGATGCCAAGATTAGCCACAGATCTGTCAAAGTTCTGCCCAGTAGCAATTTGGATTAGGAAGACTGCTGTCCCAAAATTCATACATGTCTTTTTGTGGACAGTCTTGTCAAAACCACCGACTGTGCTAATGGAATAAAGTGAAGTGTGAGATCAGGGGCAGCTTTGCATCTGACTCTACTGGGTACAGCATTATTGGTTGTTTACTAATTAATCCTAATCTCCCATCAATGTTATTGAGATGAACATTCAAGTCAGGCTGAAATCATTGTTCATCTTTTGACCATGCTCTTACTAACAGTGCTGTCCCTGTGTTCACAACACACTGAGATCAGGGAGGTTAAAATAAAAAAAAAAAAAAAAAGGCAAAATACAAAGCTATGACTGGAAGGGCAAAGAAGTCGAATAAAATTACCTACAGAAAAAAACTCAAATATAAGTCAACTGATGTTTGTTTGAAGGTCAAAAGCTTCTTTTATTTTCTATTATTATTTTTTAAATATTTACGTATTTATTTTGAGAGAGAGAGAAGACAGAGAGAGACAGAGAAAGAGGCAGAGAGAGAACCCCAAGGCTTGACGCTGTCAGCACAGAGCCTGATGTGGAGCTGGGTCTCACAAACCATAAGATCATGACCTGAGCCAACATCAAGAGTTGGATGCTTACTGAGCCACTCAGGGCCCCCCCCACCCAAATCTTTTCTATATTATCTTCGTGATTTCTAACAATATTATAGTATGATAGATCTCTTGTACAGCTTTGAACTTAGCTACAAAACCACTATGAATAAATTGAATGATAGGTTTTCTAAGCTCACATTTTTCTTCACGAGCTACCTGAATCAATCATACAATTCTCTGATAATCTTTCATGATGTCATAGAACGCCAGAAAGCCCCAGTTGGGAATGTGACACTATTCATGCTGATTTCAAACTTAACCTGTATCATCTTCAGAAAGGGGAACGCTGTATTTCCCCAAGTGCAGAAGACTATTCGCTTGCTAGACATCTCTGTAAGTGCTCTCTTGAATCTGTCAACATATTGTAACACTATCAGTTTTATAGCAAATTTGAAAACCAAATAGTTTTAAGGCACAAGTATTGTATAGATGACCTCTGTATCCTTGTTCCTCTGAGAAAATGGTTAAGAATAAGAATCTAAGACTTGTCTCACTGAACTATTAGAAGGGTAGGTATTACCTGGTAAGTGGGTGATGCCTTAACTAATTCACAGTACACTTGCTGCATTCACCTCTATTTACGTTAACATGCATATGCTTACTATTCGTTGAACATTCAACAACAACGGTTGAGCATCAACAGTCCAATGCTTCCAGGCACTGTTAATATGTACTGGGCTACAGAAAGGACAAAATGGGGCGCCTGAGTGGCTCAGTCAGTGAAGTGTCAGACTCTTGATGCTCAGGTCATGATCTCACGGTTCGTGAGTTGGGATTCTCTCTCTCTGTCCCTCCCCCCACCTCAAAAATAAACAAACAAACTTAAAAAAATGACAAAATGACACAAATTCTTTCTCTCGTGGATCTTATATCCCAGTGGGGGCAGACAGACCATAAACAAGTAAGTAAAATATATATGCATGCTTGGATGTTGACAGTAATACCAAAGACATATCAAAGACATGCTTAAATAGCTGCTATGGCAGAAGGAAAATCTATCTATTCCATCTTTCTAGATTCTCTCAGTTCTTCTCTTAAGCTAACTTACCATGAGGTAAAAATAAAATAAATATTCTATAAAATAGCTTCCATTAGCAATTATGGCAGATCCACACAAAAAGTACAACCACGGTGCCCATTTGCTACTAATGTGATAATGCAGAGTAGAATGTTGTTTGGCCCACTGTTATTTATTATTAGTATTTCATGAAAGACCACAGAGTAAGGAACATCAGCAAATATTTACTATATGTCTTTTAAAATTAGTACTGTGCCACGTATTGGGATACAAAGATTAGAAAACTATGGTCACAGCCTTTAAAAGTTTAAAATATATGCAACCAGGAAGTTATATAAAATCCAACTAGGAAAAGTTCATTAGAGCATAAAACAGCATTAGAATGGGGCACCCAGGAGTGCCTGGGTGGCTCAGTCTGTTAAGCATCTGACTTTGGCTCAGGTCATGATCTTGCAGTTCGTGAGTTCGAGCCCCGCATCAAGCTCTGTGTGGACAGCTCAGAGCGTGGAGCCTGCGTCAGATTCTCTGCCTCCCTCCGTCTCTGCTCCTCCCCCACTTACAATCTGTCTCCCTCTCTCACAAAATAAATAAATATTAAAAAAAAATTAAAAAAACAAAAAAGAACGGGGCACCTGGGTGGCTTAGCCAGTTAAGCACCTGACTCTTGACTTTGATTCAGGTCATCATCTCCTGGTCTGTGAGTTCAAGCCCTGCATGGGGCTCTGTGCTCACAGCGTGGACCCTGCTTGGGATTCTGTTTCTCCTTCTCTGTCTGCCTCTCCCCTGCTCATGCTCTCTCTCTCCCTCTCAAAAATAATAAACATTAAAAAACAACAGCATTAGAATGCTAGCAAAAATATGATGTTATGCAAAAGATAATACAGAATGAGAAAATGACCGAATTTCCAAAACAGGAAAAGCCAATGAAGACCAGGAAGTCTTCAAAAAGGGGGGGTGGGGGGCGCCTGGGTGGCGCAGTCGGTTAAGCGTCCGACTTCAGCCAGGTCACGACCTCGCGGTCCGGGAGTTCGAGCCCCGCGTCGGGCTCTGGGCTGATGCCTCAGAGCCTGGAGCCTGTTTCCCAGTCTGTGTCTCCCTCTCTCTCTGCCCCTCCCCCGTTCATGCTCTGTCTCTCTCTGTCCCAAAAATAAATAAACGTTGAAAAAAAAATTAAAAAAAAAGATTATCTATTAAAAAAAAAAAAAGGGGGGGGTGGTGCTAATTGTGACACAGCTGGAGAAATAACATCTATGACGTGATTTTGGTGATTAAGACACAAGTTTATGAAGGTCTGGACTAGGATAATAGCACAGGCAGCAAATTTAAAGGCATGGATCTGAGATTCATTTTGAAGACAGCATCAGCTAGTCTCATGACTAACTGGATTGAGGGACAGAGAGAACGTGGCAACTTCCACCTACATACTAGGCTTGAGATGGCTGACGCTCCAGCTTGAAGACTAGGCTGAGTCTGGCTAACCACTGATAACTACAAGTGGCCTGAGGTGGAGACTAGTAGTGCCCAGCACTGGGCCACCAAGGAAGAGAAAAATGTGTTATTATGCAAAAGATCCAACAGCTAAGACTGGTACTCAGAAAGATGCCAGTGCCTCCAGCAATAGCACAGGTACCAAAAAGAGCTGAAAGAAATGATTTCTTAGGGCCAGAAAGATATTGGTGCAATTCATCAGTTTGGGAATGAAAGTTGACGAACAAGCTAGTTATACAGAAGCTGAGGTTCAGGTAAGGGGTGGGGGGGGAAGCATCCACAGCCTTATGAGCTGCTGAACGTGAAGAACTCTTATCATCAAAAAAGGACAGTCGAAACCAATGAGAACAAATGAATTTCTTTTCCCCTTGGGAAAAAACAAAACTACAGCTTAGAGGAGAGATGGTGAAAAAGATGCAGAAGTCAAGAGAGGGGAGTTTGAAGGAATGACCTGAACAGAATCAGAGCAAACAGAGTGGTTGAGGAGATCTTTCATGTATAAAGCTTTTAAGACAGAAAAATAAAGCTTTCAGAGTACATGTGCTCAACCAAATGGACAGAACAGTCCCAAACATGAAGAATGACACCTGGCTTTATGTTATAAATTGAAGGATAATGTAGAAAGAACAAGCCACATGACATAATCCTACCATAAAAGCATTAAAGCATGACTCAGAGATTTAACCCACAGAAAGTTATTAATAGGTCCTCCCTGTTTGCAAAATAGTACAAATATGACATGCCACCCAAAACAAAAAGACCTTTATTCTCCCTCTCTACCTTGCTTTTTTAAAAAACATGGATTAAAACAAAAGTCTTTAACGATTTCAATGTCAATTTCAACCCACATCTAACAGTGAATAATCAGGCTCAATGACCAATCATTTTAAACTTTGCTTTGTTGGAACTTATGGAATGTATTCCATTTCTTTTCTTTTCTTTTCTTTTCTTTTCTTTTTTTTTAACTTGAAAGGCTTTAAAGTTTGAAAGCTTGGTAACAGTTGGTGCTACCACATTCCAGAGATCTGTTATTAAGTGACAGCCCCTCACCCCTTCTTTTTTAACATTCTACTGTCATTATAGTTTTTGCGAAGCACAGTTTAAAGGTGGTTGCTCAGGTGTGCCCTTTGATTTTTAGCACTTAAGATTTTTAAAAATCCTTATATATTGTAAGGCATAATTTAAGTTCGATGCTAGGTTTTAGAGGACTCTTACAAACGTATGTATGTGTGCGCACATGTATGTTTACGGGTAGATTTATGAAGGCTGAAGACAGTCTCTCGAGATTTAGTTGCTGCTATGATGGCTTAAATGGAAAAAATTAGGCAAAAAGTCACTGTTTATATTCTAGAAAGAAAATGCAATTAATGCCAATAAAAAATAAAAGGACTGATATATTTCATTAAATATAGGACTAATACACTTCATTAAAATTATGATTTTCAACAACAAAAAGATCAGAATTAAGGAAGCCATGATATTTATTGAACACGGAAGAGATAAGAAGAAAAACTATGGATGTTATGTGCTACCTCACCAAAAAAGTCAAGTTGTAGTAACAGGATAATACAATCATCTGAAAATGACTTTCACCTATATCATATAATCTAAGGAGCATGATGGGTCAGACTCTTAGCAAATACCTTTGCCCGCCTATCCCTGTATCATTGTTCTACAGTCTCTGCCTCTTCTATCTTCCGGGATAGCGCCTCTACATCCTCTAGTGGGAATCTCCAGTGGCACGTGACACCCTTTCAATGCCACCTCCTATTATAATTGCTGTGGGTTTATCCCCCGTCCCCCTACGCTACAACTAGCCCTGGAATGTTGGGTCTTAATCTCTCCTTGTCTTTTGAACACAGTAACTGGCAAATAAGGTTTTTGAATTTATAAATTAATGAGTTGTGTTCTGTCCTGTGGATATGAATTAAAATTGGGTCTACATCTTAAGAAAAAAATTGAGGGGCGCCTGGGTGGCTCAGTCGGTTGGGCGGCCGACTTCGGCTCAGGTCATGATCTCGCGGTCCGTGAGTTCAAGCCCCGCATCGGGCTCTGGGCTGATAGCTCAGAGCCTGGAGCCTGTTTCGGATTCTGTGTCTCACTCTCTCTCTGACCCTCCCCTGCTCATGCTCTGTCTTTCTCTGTCTCAAAAATAAATAAATGTTAAAAAAAAAAAAAAGAAAAAAAAAGAAAAAAATTGAGTCACTCAATATACAAAGCTAGGCAACTTGCAGAGTGTGCAGCCCAAAGCTATACATCTTACAACTTCATAGAATAAGAAGTGAAATCATTTTTGTTTGGCCAGCATGTTCATGCTTTCCACAAAAAAAACTAATAGTGCTTGGCTCTGAAACACATACTCAAACAGAAAGATATGAGTTAATGTGTAAAAGCTACTTCGCAGTGGGATTTAAATCGTTAACAGAGTAGTCTCCTGACACTATGGAGCTACTTCTCACACAGAAAGAAATCCACATTGCAAGTCTAAGGAGAGATTTGATAGGGTGAGACCTGACCCAGTTGGAGCAGGCAGAGACGGGAGAGGGTTCAAGTGCTAACCCTTGGATGGATCCAAACACAGAGTGCAATACCAGCCATCCCAGAGCAGTGGGCAGTTTCTTCTTTTTGCTTATCTGGAGTCTCTTTCTGCTTCGCTGGCTCTATTTCCTCTGTTCTGATCCACTTGTCAAGCCGACCTGAATCAGGGAGCGGTGGGCATCGCTCGCAGGAGGAAGATACCCAGGCTGCAGAGTGCTTCTGGGAAAGCACGAGCCTGATGGCCACACACATCCCTGCCCTCCAGAAACCCACCAGCCTGCAGGAAGCCTATCAGGGACAGGGCACTTCAAGCCTGGGTGGAAAGTTGAGGCACAGAAAAGCAGCAGAGCTCGTTCCCTCCCACCACCTTGCTGAAATCTGTTGAAAAGACCTTGGCAGGAAAACAACTGACCTCACATGACCATTATGGCAAGGGAGAGAAAGAATTAAATAATGTCAACAGACTTGAAAATCAGCTTCCAGTGAATCTCCCAAATTTGGGTTTGTGAATAAGAACGATGGAAAAGATGGGGGACAGGTGCTGGGTTCTTCTCCAACTGAAACATGAACTCTTACAAAATGCAGTGGAACTCTAGAAAAGTCATGGGTCACCTCCTGGAAACATGGTGGCAACCTCAGTCAGTTCTAGTTTTAAATTAGAGACATTCTGGAAACACTGAGATGCACTGACAGGCGTTTCATCTTTCCAAGGGACGTAAAGACAGTATCCTGTTTTAGCAGTTTTGCATAAATGGGCATCAAAGTAAAGGGGGAGTGGGCACTGGCATCCTTGCTCAAAGTTCTGGGAGACAATAGCGCTTTATCTTGGTTTCCTGGTAAGGCAGTCGTCAGGACGCAGCTCTCCAGGTGATTACGTGGCAGCACCATAGCTGCTAACCTTTCACAACGACCTTAGGTAACAAGCGAAAAATCAGACAGCTCAGCAGGAGGCTTTGCCTTTTCCTGGCAGCGTGCTGGTAGCCTCTGTCTATAGATTCAACAGCAGCAGTTTTTTCACACGGAAAGCAGGAAGTGCCCTGGCAGTGCGTGTGCTCGTGACTGCTCACATAAAAAAGAACCATAAGCTTACTGTCCTTGGTTTGTTTGCTTTTTTTTTACGCTGTAAAATGTAAGCTGAGCCCTCACGCCTCTTATAATTACATTCTCTCAGGTGCCCCATGAAACTGTGATTATGAGAAACAAAGTGAAAACGACCTCAATCCTGGCCTGGCCTTTACTGCTGCTTACAGTTTAGCCCGATGTTTCCATCACATACTAAGTTGTGTTTCACGTCCCTCTGTACAACTCGTAAAGACACGCATGGTTGTTACAGTGATGGCCACTGGCTCAACGGGAAGCGTCCCTGAGCCCGGAGGTGAAAAGCAACATCTGCACAGCGGCGTCCCCGCAGGACTGGACGGGGGCTGGGGGATGGATACCTAGCTGCTTCTCCCGCTCCTCGCGCCGCTCCCGGGCCAGCCGCTGCCGGTCGTCAACCCGCAGCACGGGAGGAGGGTCTGAAAAGGAGAGCAAACACGTTAGTAGAAGAGCAGATTTTCTGATACTGCTAAATAGCTTTCGGAACAGTAAATTCGGTGGATAAAACATCACGACATCTTAACAACAATTACCATAGATGGCTATAGTTCCGGTGATACACTTTATTATTACATCATTTTTCTGAGAACTTCCAAGCATTGATATACTCCAAGATATACTCTCTTATGTAATGTCTTTTTCTTCTGTTCAAAGACATTACATAAGAGAATAGGATTACATATCCTAAGACTTCTAACCACAAGGAGAAAAAAAAAAAAAAAAACACCTTTTTTTCCCACCCCCATATCTATAGGAGATGATGGATGTTAACTGACCTGACTGGGGTGGGTGATCATTTCACAATATAGGTTAAGTCACATCATTATGCCACACACCTTCGATGTACGGGGTGGCGTATGTCAGTTCTACCTCCACAAAAATGGGGGAAAAGTTTTAAAAAGAAAAAAAGACACACAGCCAAAAAACAAAAAACCCATTATGTAAAAACATGACATAACTGTAGCCTTTTGCCTGTTTCTCTCCAACAATATATACGATGCTTTGTTGTTCCTAAGCTAGTGAGCTTCTATCATTTTTATGCTTTAAGAAGGCTGTTCCTCAACAGCAAACAGAATCCTAAGTGAATTTCTACTGAATATAGTATTCAGTGAATACTGATAGATGTTCACCAGTTGGATGTAAGAAGCCCAGCTTTGAAGTCACACACCCAAGAGTTCACTTCCTGTTCTGTGTCTCACTCAATATGTAAATTTGGCTGAGATACCTATCTCTCTACGTCTCAAGTTATGCAGGACATGGGTTTCATGGATTTTTATTTATTACCTATAAAATGGAATAAAAATAGAACCTATCTGACATCACTGTAAGAATTCAATGAAATACTTGAAATGGTGTTAGTATGGTGCCTCGCCCACAAGCTTCAGTAAATTAATTCACTCACTGAACACACGTTGAACATCAACTATGCACCAGGCACTGTTCTATGTGCTGAAAAGAAAGCAGTCAGGAAAACAAAAAGCAAAAAACAAAAATCTCTGCCCTCATGGGAACTGCATTCTACTCAGGGAAACTTGATAACAAGGATAAAAAAGAGATAGAGCATGAGAGGTGCCTGGGTGGCTCAGTCAGTTAAGTGTCTGACTTTGGCTCAGGTCATGATCTCATGGTCTGTGGGTTTGAGCCCTGCATCTGGCTCTGTGCTGACAGCTTGGAGCCTGGAGCCTACTTCGGATTCTGTATCTCCCTCTCTCTCTGTTCGTCCCCTGCTTGCACTGTCTCTCTTTCTTTCTCTCAAAAATAAATAAAGATTTTAAAAAATTGAAAGAAAAGAGATACAGAATGAAAACAAGGGAAAATATATTGAATGTTGCATTGAGATAAATGTTAAGGAGACAACATGAAAGGGGACTGTGATATGGCAGGAAGGGTATGTTTAAGCATTTTAGACAAGAGATCGTAACTTTCACGTGTAGAGTCCTGATGGAAGGGACAGCTAGCTGTGCAGGTGTTCTAGGAGGTGGAAAGCAGGCACAAAGACCCTGTGGCCACAAGTACCTAATGTGTGTAAGAAATGGGGAGATCGAAGAGCCTGGAACGGAGCGAGATCAGAGAGCACTGGGGCCAGATACGCAAGGGCCAAGGCACAGGGCTCGTTGGTCCTGGCAGGGACTCTGGATTGTACTTGGAGTGAGACGCTGCTGGGAGCTTCCCAGCAGAGACCTACACTAACAGGCTCACTTTGGTACTATATAAAAAAGCAAAATTATAATAACAATGCTGATGAGAATAATGACCTTAAAATCAGGTTTATTTTCTCTTCACTTAAAATGACGTATTTTTTTAAGATCTCATGTTAAAAATAGAAGCTTACTGGTGCAATACTGTAGACAGCATGGTAGCACTTCATCAACAAATTTAAAGGCTTTATATCCCACAGGCCTCCTAAATGGCACAGAATTTGCACATTTAGGGGAAATAAAAACTGTACAAAGACCCCTTGGGAGCCTGCATAAACCTGGCAGTGAGAATCATGAGCAAGACTAAGTGATGACATTTTACACCCTTGTTGTTTTAAAGTATGGTTTTTAAAAACTGGTAAAAGGACCCCGCAGTAGGTCCTACTTACTATTATAATGACTTATCAGATTTGCTTATTATTTATGAGATTTCAAACATTTTTTATATAAGAAAATATTGCTCCTGGCCCCAAAAGGTTTACTTCTGAAGTTTGAAAATGGGCATGTGAGATCCTGCTCAGGCACTTTGTTAAGTACCACACACAGGGGTGTTTTACTGTCATTTGTTTTTGGTGAAAAGAAATGACAGCACGACAAATGGCATTTTGAAAAAAAGAGCTGTCTAAGCACAAGTCAAAGTGAAGTTAGATCTCTAATGATTAACTCACCACTTTAGTAATATTCCTTAAACAATGAGGTGTACCTGTTCATAAATATAACTGTAAAACTCAAAAATCAACTTTACTAAAAAAAGACGTGTAAGCACATTACAGAAAGTCTATAAAAAAGAATTTAACTACTTTGAATTGCATTTATAATTCTGTCACAGGCAATCTATCGATATGAAGGATGTGATGTTGCTAGCTTACTTTCAAGTACGTGCAAATTTCATGCAAAATTTAAAAAAAATTTTGAAAGAAGATTTTAATAACACCATATGGGACATGCACTTACCCTCATGTACCCTCTTCTACCCAAACCAATTCTGAGAGCCCCCAATCAATAACTGGTTATCAATATAACCCAATTATGAACTGTAATACTTGCCTTTTAGATACATTTTTGGAAAACAGCAGTGTGAGAGGTGCTTTTTTTTTTTTTTTTGCAAGAGGTGGTTTCTATACTCTCATTTCATATGAAGATTATGCTC